TATTTTGCAGGTGATACACAAATGGACAGGTGATGGCACTATTTCTGCTTCTGAATAGTTAATAAAAAAAGAATTTAAGCACTTGAATCTCTTTATTAAGTCCTTCTAAATTTCTTTCATATTGGTTCCCAGTAGATTCTGCTAGAAATTGGAATACTTCATCATCAGCAGGCCAAATACCCTACCTGTGGTAATAACCAAGGAAAACCTTTCAAAATGGGACTTGAAGAAAGGCATTAGACTTCTAGAACTGCCACACATTTTTATACAGCACCTACAGAATATGCTACGGGTGTTTCACTATTCATGTGCATGTATGCTTTTCTTGTCACACAGAACATTAACAGACTGCAGCACAAAGAGGAAGTTCTTAAGATTCACATCACAGTTTGACTTCATTAGTGATACTTAGAACTTCTTTGACATGTCCTTAAGTCTCATGTATAGCCTATATCTGTATACAATAGCAGGGTTTCACTACCATTAGTAAGCCCACACGTTCTTCAGATATATGTGCATACATACACATAAGCAAGCTGCAGTAGAAGTTTCTATAGGTTTCACATAGCGCTACATAACACACACAAAGACTTGTTGCTCTAACAGAATTTGGATAGCTTAAGGACAGTTTGTTCTCCACTGATAGGCATTCACAAATGTCTATTCAAAGCTAATTGCCACAGCTAACTTCATACTGAGCTGAGAGAACACTTAGGTTTGACCAGCCAGACTAGGCAACAGCACAGTGCATACAACGCCCCTCTACACAGAATGCAGCTGTGCTAGCCAAGCACGTCTCTCACAGATATCTTTGCATCTGACTGAGGGACAGAGAAAATGTTTACGCAGATTGCATTCTACTTTTTTTTTTTTTTTTTTCTTCTCCTTGTAAGCACTGCCAGAGCTTCTATTTCCACAGGTTCTTAACTATAGAAGATCCAGAACATACTTTACATTGTATTCCATTTGTGAAGGAACTTTTTTCTCCCACTTCATTGCATTCACCAATCCAAGTCAGGCCAGTATTTCTAGCTTGTTGAGAGACAGGAAAATACATCAATTATTTATTTGCCTACAGAAATATCCTGAGGTCAACTTGAATAATGTATTCTAAAGTGTCTTATTAGATAAAAATAAGCATCTCATCTTTCTTTCTGTAGCTGTTCAGAATACTATTGAAGCTGTATCAGTACAGCTCAATCTTCTTGCAGATCTGGACATCCTTTCAAAGCCAGCTATAACTGAATATTTAAAACTGCTTAATGTTTTCAGTTATCCAATGGGGAAATTTTTATGCTATTTTGTTACAACGGTCCCTCAAAACAATCTGATTTCATTTTACCATAACAGATAGTGATTGAAATCCTATTCCAAACATACATTGTCACGTGACATGATCTTCCAAGTGGTTAAACTTCAAGGAGAACAGCATTAAAGATACTACTACAAACTTTAAGAGCTATTCAGTCTCTAGCATTTAGAGACTGTTCAAAAGCTTGAAGTCCAAGAAAATCCCCTACAGCAAATAATGGATTCTTTTTTGTTTCCTGTTCAAGGAAATTGTATACTTCAGACTCACACCTCTGGAACAGCTAAACTGCATTCAGGCCATAACAGCAGATACGATGACAGTGTCACTTCATAACACTAAAGCAGCCATGACTTTCCACCCTTCAGTGCACTTCAAAATCTTCATAATTATTTTGCTAGCTATCTGCAATTTCACAGCACTTTTTCTGGGCAATAAATGCAAGACTGAGTACAGGTTCTGTACTCCTACTACAGTTAAAAACTGTACAAACTGTAAAAACTTGATCCAGTACACTAAAACAACAACAACAACAAAAAAAACAAACAACTACAGAACACTGTGGTTAAAATTTTGATTTTGCCAGTGGAAAAAAAAAAAAAAACCCAAGCTGGATCAGGTGCAGCCCATTAGTGAATTTGTTTTGCTCAAGATTACGTTGACACAACGACCGGCCAAATTCTGCCAAGACTTGTAATTAACTTCTTGCAGCTGGAATAACAGCACCAATCCCCTGAACGTTCAAGTAAACTTTAGGGCCATGGAGAATTACACCATAGGACACAGCCTGAACATTTTAGCTTAGCTTATGCAGACCAGCTGCTCTTATTTCAGATTCTGTTAGTTCTGACCCCAAAGCCACGGGTTTTAAAGGCTGCGTACAAAGCAAATAAGAAGGCAGGCAATACTGCTTTAAACAAACAATGCAACTGAAAACACAATTGGCAAACTGTGATCTGTGATTAGCAGTACATATTTGCTGTACAGAAGTCTCAGTTTAAGATTATAGACTCGTAACAGTTGGAAGCGACCACTAAGGTAATCTAGTCCAGCTATCAGCCCATCACCACCTTGCCCACTAAGCGTCTCTCAGTGCCTCATCTACCATTTTCTTGAAAACCCATTTTGTCAGTTCTGAACTAAATTACCTATTGCTCTGAACTAATTTGGCTTAAGTTGTGGATGGATATTGTTTTTTGGAATTTGGCAGCTTTTACACACCTGTAGAAGAATGCTTCCACCTATCCTATTCTCTAGACATACCTTGCAGTTTTATTTAAAAAAAGTGTTGAACTTCAGCAAACAATGCCAAAAAACCAGAAATGCAACTTTTGTGAAGACACAAAAGTTCAACTTGCATAAAAAAAACAGTAAGTCCATTTTCAAGGTGGAAAAAGGCAATTGTTCCACATGTCCTGCAGAAGCTGCTGCTAGCAACTTCTAAAAAGAAGATTAAAATGAACAATTTGGGAAAAGTTGCAAATGGACCAAACTTCTTTTTTAAACTGTTCTATTTAAACAGAGAACTGAAACAAAAACTTAATCTCCAGAGAAATAACTTAATTGTGACGACTTAGATTAGTTTATAGTTTCCCAGTTGATATTAGCTGCATTTACTCTGTCAGTTATGGATAATTTTACCTGCAAACTACAAACCAAACTATTCATCAACTCTATACAGCATTTAACTCTGAACGTGTCTTGCAGCTGAGTAGTAGTTCTGTAAATGCTGTATATAGGAGCAATATTTTAATGCAGGATTTTGAATAAGCCATGCAGAAGATCTGAGTAGATAAGGTGTTAGTCTTTTTGCTAGTTTTCCAAAAGCACAAAGAGTAAAGATTCTTTTCTGCCTAACACACATTCAATTAGACAAATTCTGGCATGCTTCCTTGTTCTGCTCACAAAGAAGCCAAACTGCTTCTGAAAGATTCCCAGTGATACTAGACAAAGTATTTGTAGGTAGGCAGTTGTCATAGAATCACGGAACCACCAAGGTTGGAAGAGACCTACAAGATCCAGGCCAACCATTACCAATAGTTCTCTCTAAACCATGTCCCTCAACAGAACATCTAAACTTTCCTTTAACACCTCCAGGGTCAGTGACTGCACCACCTCCCTGTGCAGCCCATTCCAGTGCCTGACCACTCATTCAAAAAAAGTAGTGTTTCTTAACATCCAGCCTGAATTTCCCCCAGCACAACTTGAGCCCTATTGCTAGCTACACTAGAGAAGAGGGAGACCCCCAGCTCAATAAAATCTCCCTTCAGGTAGTTATAGAGAGCAAGTCTCATACAGAAAGAATAACGGCACTCACCCAACTGGTGAAGGGGCTCCTGGCTGTGCAGCGCTCCTCCTCAAAAGCAATCCGGGTCCAAGAGAGCTCTCCCTTCAGAGGCTGGCCCTTTTATGAGCCCAGGGGGCTCCACCTGCATCCACCACTCCTGGTCAGCTGGGAAGCACAGATGCAAACAATCTGCTGTGCTCCCTGGGCAGACACAGCCCTGCACCAGGTGCTCCATCACCACTTCAAGCCCTGACTTGTTCCCCTACATGCGTATTCACAGAAGTGAGTAAAAGCTCCTGGTAGGAGGATACCTCTCTAATTGCCATATCAATCAATGGTTAAATGTGCTCATATTGATCAGCTACACATACAGCATCAGCAAAAACATCCACAATGTATGGTGTAACAAAATTTCTCAATGAACAGCTTAATCAGACCACATATGTACCCCAACTCAGAAGTGTAGGGATTAACGAAGTATTCTGCTTTCCTTGCAGTAATTAGTTTTCACACTGATAATGATTTCTTTTTCCTTCCTAAAACTAATGTTACCACAGCATGAAAGCATTATTCATTACAGACACGTTCCTGCAGCACAAGCACCAGCCACAGGCCATCATTCAAGGACTCCCTTAAACACAAGTACAGGAAACAGGGTTCCGTAAATGGAAAATGCAGGAGGCAGCAAATAAGGTTTATTTGGAACAAGTAAATATTGGGAAAAGGGTACACATGGTGGCAATGAATCCATCCTATTTCAAGTGTGAGAGAATATCACCTGAATTATTTCCTCCACTATAATCTGTAATTAAGTTTACCTTGCACAGCACTGGACTCCATTCATGTATGATTGCTCAGCAGTGCTTCCGTAAATACCCTAAATAGAAGGAATATGTTAAGAGAGCAGTAACTTGCCAAAAATTGAGAGAAGATTCAACATAAAGTAAAATGACAACAAGGGAACAGGAAAAAAACACAAGCAGCCTTAGTTTATAACTTCTATACTAATTTGTTGTACATTCAAACCTAATTCTAAAGAAAAACTGAGATACCTGAGGAAACCCTTCCAGCAGGTATTCTGCCTGATTCTATCTCACTATGTAAATAAACAATATGAACAGCTTTTTAACTGAAGAACATAACTTCTTACAGTGAAAACAGTGAATTGAAGGATTGTCACTTCTCACTATGCAGTTACTCCTTCGCTTTCATAGATTATCTTCATCTCTTCTTAACATGTCTTGTAGTTTACCTGTATGCAATACATGGTGTGAAAAGAATTTGAAGACTGAAAGTGCATATTTTATTTAAGAGCTACTACACAGTAAATTCTGACACAAATCTTCAAGTTGTCAAAGCACATAAAACTTCACTACTAAAAACAAATACAAAATTAGCCCATGATGGAAGTGATGACTTTTTATTTTAGGCAAAAAATAAAATAAAAATCCCAAAAACATTCCACTATTGCAGTTTGTAAAAATTTTTACTGTTTCTAGTGGAAACAGTTCACAATTCAGTACTCAAGATTTAAAACAACATTGTGCAAAATAGTACTGGCATAACTACACATAGCAAAGACTAGCGAAAATCAAGAATTCCATAGAAATGAGTAGAGCTGCTCCAGTTTTACACCAGTGTACATCACTTCAGAATAGGCCCTTTATGCATATCATCCCCGGAATTCCTCTTGCTTACAAAAATAGCCTTACATGCAACAAGTAACTGATCTGTACAACACACACAAGAAGACCTCCACAAATTAATCACAGTGTAACAGAGGAAAACACATCAGCCAATTTCATATAGAGACCAATCTAATGGCAGTTCTGCACAGCCTTTAACTGTTACTCTCAAAAATTGCACATTTCAGTAAATGAAAGAATAAAGCCAAGCAGTATTCTTTGACTATTAATCTAATGAAAATGAGGGTGACTGAGTCCAAAGAGTGTTGTTTGGTTTCTGCTTTTCAGCTTACTAGATTTATCCAAAGAGTTCTATCAGAATAAATCTGTGTAAGAAACTTCTAGTGTTTTCAGGTCAAGTCCTCTTCTGCAATTCAGATACACCTGTCAACACTACGAAAGTCTCCATAGTCAAATACAAATCCCAGTGAGGAACTAATAAGCCAAGACCATACCTAAGTACTTACTGATGACATGCAATGAATCAAGAAAAAATTAAGAGGACACCATTTCCAGCTGGAGCACTCAGAAAGAATGTTGCAGTCCAGCTGATATACAGGACTGGATTTTCACCAAACACTCCTGAATAGTTAGCATTCTTTCCCAACTTAACAAGTAACACAACAGAATCAAAACAATGCATCTAGATCATTCCTTGCATAAATAAACGTTCAATAGCAAGACTGACTCCCAGCATTGTTGAACACTCAAATTCAAGAAAATATACAGATACATCTTGCAGTGAATGGTCATTTTGTTTTCCTAAATATCCAGATAAAGGAAAACAATTTCATATGAACTCTTCAAACATAAAGAAATCAATTTTCCACAGTGCTTCCCATTCCATAGTTTAAGGGAAAATGAGCTTTCTATTATCTTTCTAAGAGCTAAACTTTTTCTTTTAATGCATCAACTTGCTTGAGACTAAGTCATCACAACATCATTAGGCTCTGACATTTGATGAAGTGCACTTATACTACAAAACCACATGGAAAAAAAGCACAGTCCTGACATTCTCAAGTGTCTGTGTGCTTGTATAGCAAGGATCTTTTTTTTGCAGGTTATATTAATGGTATATTAATTTCATGAGAACAAGAATGACAAACAAGCTTTGCTTTGAAGATATTTTTCTATTAAAATTATGTATCAGTTCTGTATGAGTAAAGTTTTGAAAAACTATCCATAAAAAAAGATTGTCTAAAATACCAAATCCTACAGTTTACAGAAGCAGGCCTACGCAGACTGCGTGTGCGTACACAATGAGACAATGGAAATTAAAATATCTCAGAAGTCACTCAGCAGCAACGATCTTGGTAACTACAAGTTACTGGTGTCTATGTGTTCTCCTCACTCCCCTTTCAGTTTCGTGGAGAAGCTGTCAGATATCCCACAAGAAAACAGATTTCACTAGCAGTGAGTTACTGTAAAGACAGATGGGCAAGAGAGATAGCTCACGTTTCAGCAACAAATTAATAGAATTAATTGGTATGGCAGTAAACTCCATAAGCAAAAAGAAGTTAGGCCTGAGGCAGAAGAAAGGTTAATGGATTTGACTTCTTTGCATTTCCACCCCCCGCGCTATTCAGAAAGTTGCATGTTCCTTGTTTCAAGTCGTAGCAACAGTAATTCTGAGTATCAAGATCAGAAGCAGCAAGCTTTTTATATGGTAGGACAATGAATCTTCAAAGATATTTCCCAGTAGGTTTATGTTAATACTGAAAACATTTCCAGCTATTACAGCAATAAAATGATGCAAGTAGCTATTTTTAGAAGCATTTTTCTTCCCAAAAGGCTCAGACTTCAGTGATCTTAGAAAATCATAAGCTTTCAATTTCAGTAAACTGCATCTTAGAACAAACAAAAGAAAGCCCTGAGAGTAAACATACTTTTTAAGAGCTGATTTACATAATGCAACAGCAAATGCATCAAACACTTCCACAGTACGGTGTATTTAATTTGCACTCCCTTTTTTCTCTCAAGATATGTGCATGCAAGCAAGAATTTCCTCCTAAGCTCTATGTACTCAATATTTTTTATTATTATTTTCTTACTTTTCCATGTACTTAAATTTGTTGCTACATGATTACAGCACCAAGAAAAGAGTGAATAGCTAAATCACGTTACAGTTTAATGAGAAGTCCTCTTCCTCGTGCCTCAGATTTTTAAAGTAAAGAGTCCAGTCATAGCTGCCAGCATAGACCTTCATTAAAACAACAACAACCTCCTTGTGAGTTATGTGAAATTTACAACTGGAGGAACATTAGTTAGAATATCTCAAAAGATCAACTGTCAGTGTCACTGAACACCGCTATCAGCCTTCAAAGTTGGGCTAGAAGTGTAAAATATCAGGAAAACAGTATCAAGTGTGTCAAGTTGTATGTAAAAATAGACCTTTTACATATTTAAGCTACAAAGTAGGTAATCAAGGAACTGACTGGGTCTATGCATAGTTAGGATTTGAAGAATGCCAAAAGAACTAGAAACCTTTCAGTATAACTGTGATTGAGCCATATGTTAACCCCTCATAAAACTGAGTATCTCAACTCTATATACAAATGAGTTGTTTGTTTGTTTTTTTCTTTTAAGTTATATACACCCTCAAACCTACCTTTAATCTGATTTAAATACTTTACCTTGCAGCTCTGCAATGGCACAAGACAGCACATACGAAGTTTAAGGCTAAGTTTTATATGCATACTTGTAAAAGCTGGTCTTGGTACAAGAGCTGTTATATTTTCTTAATTCTGAGTCCTTAGTGTGGATTCACATGAAAGTAGAGCTGCCACAGCAATGAACAGTCCTGTACATTAAAAAAAAAAAGTCATCCTGAATCCAATTTGTTTTGATAAAAACAAATCCCTCATATACTTCTATTTGCATTTTTAACAGATGGGCTCGGTAATACATGCAGTACATTGTCCAATAATATACAATGTGAGCTACTGAAGAGATGCTTGAGTACTACAGCAAGAGGAAAAAAAAAGTTCCAGGTTAAGAAAGCTTGCTACTGTTTGAGAGATCACTCTGATTAAAACAAACATCAGAATGCAGTTTTGGTTAAATCAGTTAAGTCTCAAGGCCATAACAAAGGCTATTTGTTAACTTTAGCCCTTCAGTTCTTAACTATTTAGTTAAGATCTCCTGAAAAAGCACTATGCATTTTGGCACTGATGGAGAAACTCTTTACATGCTACTGCTACAGAAAAAAGTAGATTTACAACAACTTCCTTCACCTGAATGATCCCATCTCTCATGAATCCAGCCACACCAGCTTTAAACAACCTGTCTAAAGCAGTACATACTAGTCTTCAAATTTCACTGGAACTCCTTCAGAAGAAAAAGATTAATACCACAAAGCCTCATTAACTGATCATAGCACAGAAATTTAGTGCACAAAGTCTTCTCCTCTCCAACAACTTTTTCAGTGTAAATCAGAGCTGCCACTCAAAACCAGAGCTTTTTAGTCCCGTCTGTATGATGCTATCTATTTTGATGAGAAGAAAAACGGTATATTAGATTATATTCATTCGCTAATTTAACAGATGAAGTATTTTCAGACTTCCTGGAACATTTTTAATTTGCTGAAGTTCTACATTATGTTTTAAAGAGGGGGCTTAACATACACTCTAAATGCAGGACTTGTGTAGGCCACTGTGATTTACACTTACCTGCTCAGTGAAGTTTATTGCTATCAGACAGTTATTTACTCTGGATTTAGAGGAACAGTATGTGTGCATCAGAACTGTGACTATTATCTGCAAAAGTACGAAGATTATTTTTTTCTCCTAGTGAAATGTCTGCAACCAAATTCAGCATATTAAACACTGAGCAAAGCTGGTATATTTACAGTACAATCTTTAGATAGATGTAATTAGGGAGGGATCTGAGACTGCAACTCAGCCAGGGAAGCAATGCATCTGCAAGTCAGTAGGAATGACTCATGCTTAACAGACCAATATTCAGACCCACAAAATATCCACAATTATATTAATTTGAAATGACTGAATTTACCTCTGTAAAAGAGGCTAGAAGGCAAACATTTTATAGGATGATATGACATTGGCATTCAAGTCACTGCAGGTTTTTTTGCACTTATCTATATTGTATTTACTCAAATACATAAAATGAACCCTTGGAACACAAGAGAAACCTCACTGAAGTCTCTGAATAGCTTTCATTTGAAATAGCCCCTTCCCTTACAACTTCAAAGGAACCATAAACTGCTGCAGATGAGGACAGAATAAGCGTCAAAAAATCCTGTTTTACACACCAGCCTAAGTTGCTAGTCAAAAAGGGAGAACATGTCTGCTGCAGTAAACTGCTGTGTAACAAATACCATGGCTGACAAGCCAACACATTCAACATACGCAGAAAACACCACTATGACAAAAAGAGAGGAAATCATGCACAGGTATTTCAGTATCACATAGCCAGGGTCTATAATACAGTGAAGAGTCACAACAGAGCAGATTTTTGTCAAGAGTGATCAACAATTCATGGCAACTAACTCTGCAAGTAACCAAGCAAACCTGTAAGAGGTAAGCGGCACATTTTCTGGAATAACAGGGAACCAGAACATAACATGTTTTTTCCCCACTCCTGTACAAAAATTCCATGCACAAGTGGAACACTGCTGGGACAAGTGCCTTAAAATACAATTCTCCAGCCAATAAACCATCACTGACAGCAGCCAGGTGAAGGAAGGAGTTTTAAGAATGCGACTTACGGGAAGTACAAACTTACAGTATCAATTTAAAAAATACACTACGCATTAACACTGCTTTCTGGATACTCTACTGTTTTAAAGTTTTCAAACACATTAACTTGTCTTACTTAGGGCTGAGGCTGTTCAGGAAGGTCACATAATTTGAGATTGCTTAAATACTTCAGCAATCCTTTGGTCCCAGCAGCTGTAAAACAGTGAATTAAAATGAATCTTATCTTCTCTACTGTAAAATAAAACAAACAAAAAAAAGAGATGGTGGAACATAGGGGGGAATTGTCACCAGAAATACGTCTTTTAAACACTACCCACTACACATCAGAAAAGGCAAGTCTTTGTTATAAAATTCATGTTTTCATACAAAAGACATTTTGCAAAACCACTTGATTGCCCATCCCCTCTGCAGGTTGCATGGTAAAATGGGGTCAGCTGATTGGTCTCAATATTTTTCTTTTAGTGGGAAACAGTCGAAGGGCACACAGTATCACATCAATTGGTCCTGTAAATGGCAGAGGATTACAACAGTCTTAGCTTTCATCAGTATTTAAAAAAAAAAAAAAGCAGGTGGTAAACAGAACTGAAGTCTTCATAAGTAGGATGTGCAACAGAGTATCAGCTGCTGCATCATCCTGAATTTCTCAATGTACCAAACTGTCATTATACAAACAGTTCAATTATAACAGTGCCATAAGTTGTTAAAACAATGCAAATAGCGCAATCAGAAAGATCCAGTCAACTGGTTGCAATTTTTTTCCCCAGTAGTTGCCCAGAAAAATGCCAAGACATCTATCCTTCAGCTTCCTCAATACGTCCTGTTTGCTGGAGTATAGAGGTCTGTGGTATTACTGTACTTGTTCCACGAGAGATCCTGTCTTGATCTGTGTTCGCAGACAAGGAAGCCATAGAGATGGGCTGTAACAAACTGGGTGTCATGCCAGATGAGACAGTCAGGCTGTGTGTAGTGCCCTTCAACGTAAGATCCTGTGTGGGAAGAAGTGGCTTGAGGATGCTGACAAGGCAGAAAGCAGAGCCACTTTTAGGTATGAAATTCACTTTGTTTTTGTCAGGGCAGTAGAAGGCTGGAATTTCATGCAATGGCTTTGGCCTAGAAATAAAACGCACAAAATTGTTTTAAAACAACATTGAACAACCAAATTCTGTCAATGGCAGGTATGTGTACTGCAGATATGTATCACCAGAGGCAAGATAAGGTTTAAATATGAAATATTTCAGCTAGCCAATGTTGTCCAATCCACATTAAACAGAAACGTTCAAACTCCAACATGCATTGATTCAGCTATTTACTATCAACCATCATCAATTCAACAAATATTAATTTTAAAAAATCCAGTGACAAACCAGCATAGAAGAAAATTTTAGGAAAAATTGTAGGGGCTCAGTCCAGCTCTGATGCCACTCCCTGCAAAAGACAACGCTGGGCATAATCTGATTAGTCTTAATAACAAACTGGGGGAAAGAAAGACTGGGGACAGAAGAGCTAAGTTATATGTTGGTGCCTCACAAAACAAAGAAAGAAACCTTGCCAAAGAAAAGGCTACTCCTTTCTGGAATGGATTTATAAACCGTACAGTTTAGTTTCCAAAATGCACAGTACTTTCAAGTGCTGAGTAGCTTCAGCACGAAACCTGAAGGTTCAAAATCTTATGAAGCATCCACTTAGGTTTTAACACAAATATAATTGGAAATTTGACATTAGGATTATAATTATACTCATGAATGGTTAATGGCCTGTAGCTTCTCAGTTATTTACAAACAAGTAGGATTTTAAGCATACTTATTCCTTCCCTGGCAAGTTCTTTTTTTGTTTGTTTGTTTGCTTTTGTTTTTTGTTATTTGTTTTTTAAAGAAAAGAGTTGGAAACTGTAGGGAAAAAAATACAACAAAAGCCAGTAACCAAATCAGTTAAAAAAAAGAATATGAGGAATCAACCTTCACATTTTGTTTACAGATTTTCTTTATGATGTGAATAAAAGTCAGTCTGAGAGGAAACACATTCTGTCTGTCCAATCAGCAAGAATGAACAGCAATTTGACCTCCCAGGCTTGCTTGGGTATGGATCTGGCAATGCTGAAAGGAGATTCAAATGCAAGGCAAGCATTGATGTGCAAACAAGTCCAGAGCCAGTTACTGGAGCACAGTTCATGGTCTTCTTTTTATAAAGAAGAAACAGGTTCTAATCTGAACCCTACAGCAATGCAAGTAACAAATTCCCTGCCAGTGTCTGAACCGAGCTCAGAGTAGAACTGCAGAGGCAGAGGTCAGGCACCATTATGTAAAGGATAGTCTTGGTAAAGGCAGAGAGACTGTGGAAACAACATCACAGTAGCACAGCACCTGATCAACTTCATAAATTTGGTGGAGAAGGGTAAGATGCAGGAGGAGAGATGGCACTACCCTGCCAAGAATCTAGCATGGAATACTAATAGTCTAAGGATGAAGGCCCATTTCTAATGCATACACAGGCACAGCCTGAGGCCCAGTTGGAATGACAAGGGTTTACGTTAAGGTGGAAGTATCTTCCTGGGGAGTAGCATTGAGATTTCAAGAGGAGATCCCATAATCTAGGTCTACCTCAACCTGATTTTCACCATGAAGGAAACTGTGAGGACTTGCCTCAACTAAGACATCCTTGGTCTTCAGATAGTTGAGTGTAAAAATAGACATTTCTTTCTGCAACAATTTCCTTAGGTTCAGTAAGTTGCCACTGATCCACTACTAACAACCTGTACATAACCTAGTCAACAGGTTATGTTACATCTGCATTAACAGCTTCTACGTAATTCTCTTCGTGAATGATTATTTGAGTTTTTCCCCCACTGATTGCCAAGTAATAATCTTCTCAAGCTATGCTGGTTTTGCCATAAAAAGATGGTTGGAATAAAGCTCACCCTTAAGTTTCCAAGGAGCTAGCATCTAGTAATTTTTTCAGAGAAACTGTGAAAATTAAGAATGGACAAGTCAATGCAGCAGAGTCCTAAGCTACCAGCTTGTAAAGTTATCTTTGAACAAGTCCCTCCACCACCCCCCCTCCCAGACCACATGCCAAAATTCTGATCTTAACACACAGCCTTGGTAATGTAATACTCATGTATATACCAGTACACAGTCGCACAAAACAGAGACCAAGTTATTAGCACAGTTTTAGTAAATGGGTTAATAATTATCACCTGATATTAAAATCAATAAACAAATGAGTAACTCTAAACATTAACTGTTATTTATTATGTAGTATAGATCAACTTACAAGCTTTCCTCAAAGACTTTCACCTTCTCACAGCCCTCTGGTGGTTCCCGTTTGAACATGTAGCTGTTGTTGGGTTTTGGTGAGGTAGCATATTTTGGCAAGGGGGAATTATTCCCATTCTCTGCAGGAACAGAGCATTCTGTTTATTTAGATACATTACACTATAAAAATCACTAAACAAGCTATAATCACTATCCAAAAACATCCCTTAAATTGAATAGAATAATTTTGTTATCAATGCTATAAAATTAAGAAAAATTATCATCCGTTTCCAAATCTTCATTTACAAATAAGCTTTCTTGTGTCAGTCCCTTTCCTCCTTCTCATTTCCTTACATCATATGCAGATAACTCAAATTGTTTATTCCTGGACATTTTCAGTTTGTAACTGCTGACCTCAGTCTATGGCCCTGTACTGTCAATGTCCAGCCAAAAGCATTGAACAGTCACATCCCTTAAAAAACAAAGAGAAAAAAACAAACAGAAACAGAATATATTTCTGTTGTTCTATCTCAGAAGGCTTCTACTAAAAATCAAACTTCTAGAGACCCATGTATGAAAACTTGGATAGTGCTCATTTTGTCCTGGATCATCAAAACAATCTGACAGAACCACCAGGACTAATCTATTTTGCTGTTCCACTCACTGTACATTCTTGCATCCCTAGTTTACTTAAAGTACTTGAAGAATATTTATATGAAGAAAAACTTTTTTGGGAAACATAGTGCTCATCCAGAATCAATTATGGAAGACCAGATGCGTGCATGGTTTTTAAAGCAACCTGGAACAATTAGATCATTTACAAAGAACAAGTCCTACCACTTCTCCATGCTTGCGGGAAATTGTTACAATGCACTCACCTACGTGGAGGTGAGTTAAAGTTTAGCACTGTTGAACGTTTAAAGTTACACAGTACCTTTATCTCTGGAATCAACAAGATCTTCTGCTGAACAAGGACTTTCCTCACTGCTCTCATTACAGATGGTAAGAAATGAGGTTGGAGACACTGACTGAGAACGGCTGCTGTTGTTACTACCCTTCTCTGCTCCACCAGGTGTTTGGGTATCGATGCTGCGAGTACTACTGCTACGCTGAATCAATGGAGGAGGTGCACGGTGCCCATCTGGAATATCTTGAGGCTGTTAAAAATAAAGGGCATTAAGTGGCTGCTCTTATCTGGTTAGCTATTTTGTTAAATCCACAGTGTTAAAAGTTTTTTTTTTTTTTCCTGTTTAATTAAACTGAAAATGAAAGGACAAAACAAGTCGGGTTTTGAAACTAAGCACAATAATTTTCAAGACTTCACAGAATCAAAGAAATCTTGAGGCTGGATGGGACTTCTTGAAACTACCTGGGCCACATGTCCTGTTCAAGCAGAGTCAGCCAGACCAGGCTGCTCAGGATTGTGTCCAGTCACATTTTGAGTGTCTCCACAGACATTAACTCCACAACCTGTATTGGGCAACCTGTTCCAGTTTTGAGCACCATCATGCTAAAGAAAAACTATTATCTTCTTGTGTTCAAATTAAATTTCATGTATTTTAATTTGTGCCCACTGCCTCTTGTCCCGTTAGTGGGAACTACTGAGAAGAGTTTTGCTCCCTCTTCCTCATTTGATATTTATATACATTTATACAGTTTCCAGATTTTCTATAGGCTTAACAGTCTCAATCTCTCCATACAAAATACTGTTCTAGTCCCTTAATTGCATTCATAGCACTTATTTCTGGTACTTTATTTTATTATTAACTTTACCTATAAAAAAAAACAAAACAACAGAACCTAAAAATAAAATCAAAAATTACTAAGTTGCTTCAGCTGGGATGGAGACACTCCTTTAGTGCTGGCAAAGGGAAGAGAAAGTTACTACAGAAGCTCTAAAAACAGGCCTCTTATCTGTTATCTCATTAGTTGAAGTTTCTTATTTTACTGGAAACAACTACATGACAGCCATCACAAAAGAAAAATGTTCAGACTCAAGCTTGAATTCTTCTTTTTGCTTTTCATGAGACTTTTCAAATATATTTATTAGTAAAGCAAAAACCCAGGCAATTTTAAAATTACAAAATGGTGCAAAATAAAGGTAATAACTTCAAAGTAACAATAACGATAGAGAGCAATCTTGGTGGCAGATACATACAACAAGCTGTTCTTCTTTGTCTCCAGTCTCCTTAATTATTATCTCAATTTCTTGATTTAGTCCTTCTACACTGTTTCGGAATCGTGATCCTGTTGATTTGGTAATAGGTATCACAGGAACAAGAGCACTCTTCGGGATTGGAGCCTGAACAGCAAGACAGAGTAACACAGATTTACTGAAGACATTACTGCTACTTGGAAGTGAACCTTTGTATAGAACACATCTACTCCCTTGTCCCAAGGACTTAAAACAAAACTACAGCGGCGGTGTTAAAATGCGTAACTTAAACGAAGACACAGACATCCTAATTTTTGTTCTCATTTCTAGCAGAAAAAGCTTTCAACTGTCTAGCCTCAGAACTTCTTTTCATATGGTCTGCCTTCAGCTCTACATTGCTTTGCAAGTGAAAATCAAGCAGTGAACATTGACATGTAAATAATTTTGACACCTTTAAAAGATATTTCCGTCCCTTTTGATGTGAGCTGTAGCATAATTTCACTTCCCCCTCTGGATCTATTATTTGTAATTTCATTAAAATTGTGTTTTAATCAAAGTGTGCTGTCACATACAGTACCATGACAAATGCAGGAGGAAAAATTATTCTCAAATGCAAGACTTCACTGACCAAGAAATGAAAACCTGAAATAGCCACTTAAGTCTCCCCTTTAGTTCAGATCAGGCAGTCCTCAGAGAGAAAGTACATTCCTAGATTTCTCAAAACATTGATCAAGCAGAGCATACTGTGCTGTGGCCTGCTAATGAAAAACTACTATAATTTTGTTTTTAAACATGAATTAACTTTACTGGGTTTATCTACCTTACACGCAGAAGTGTGGAACACCATCTCAGTCTGTTACATACAGCATGTGTTATTATTTCAATAACAAAGATATTGAATGAGCAGTTGTAAACATACACATTACAAAGCAACCAAAATGGAGTTCTGTGCAATTCAACATATTTGAAAGTACTGTTGGCTTTTACAGTACAAAGTTTCAGTACAAAGTTTAGGAGATTTATGATGCTAGTAGAGACTTATTACAATGTAAGCTTTTTTTTTTTTCTTAATATATGCAAGACTGATCTACAAGTTCGGTAGAAGTACAAGTATTTTGGAAATTACATTTAACCTTCCCAACTTCTCACCAAATATAAGAAACACTGGCAGAGTCTTGTTCTTTTCTGGCTCCAAATGAAAGGATCATCTGTTATTTTTAGATAATTACCGCACACAGTTTTTAAGGTACTCATTGCAGCAGTCACAAAGGCTTCCCACCATGCTCCAGCACAAGTCGCATATGAACACCTAAAACTATGCCACTGTCAAGCTCTTTAACACAGTAACTCATGGTACAAGTGAATTCTCTACCTTCCTGATTATACAAGTCTTGATTCATCCCCCAAGAACACTTTCTGGTATAACTGTAACTCAGAACAGGTTGAACGATGATGAAGATAAAGCACTTGACCAGATTCTCATCTGGTTTTCAAAGCCTTCTCCCTCCCCTTCCTTCTAAGTAACACACACCAAACCACTGTGACATGACAAAAAGCATGTAAAATTTGTATGGCAGGAAGACAATGACTACTTCAGAAAAATGAGTGCAAACAACAGAGTTCTAAATGAAGATATGTACCACAATGCAGACATTCTCACACTGATAGATCCCTAAGCTGGGAAATGTTTACTAATTGTATTGGCTTTGCTTTAAACACTAGGATAGCTATAAAAAGGAACTTGCATAAGGACTGCAAGAACTTATATTCTCAGGAAATTCTCATGACTCACAGTTGATGCCAATGAAATCTCTACATCATTAGAGTAGTCAAACTTGGAAAGACTTTGAAAAGCCTTGCCCAAAGAGAAAACAGAAACCATGGGATACGGGTACAAAAAATTCCCAACCATACTAATTGTGTTCCAAACAAAGTCTTGGATCAACTGTCAGGTGAACTAATACAGGTTAATATATATTCAGAATGCAGGTAAATCAGCACAAGTTGAGACACTAATAAACACTGATTGTGCAACCATTTATTTCATTTGGATGCTCCTATGAGAAACTGATGTAAACAAGTAGAAAGCTGAATGTCTTTATCACTTAATCATAATCACCTACCACAGAAAATCCTAAAGCCACAGCACTACATGAAGATTTCAACATAAAAAGCACTAATTGTCCAAAAATACCTCATTACAGCTTGATACACCACTTCTTACTTGCAAAAGAAATAATATTCTGTACATGATGAAGGTGACTTGCTAACCTGAATGGTGGAAGCAGAAGGAGGCATTGTTATGGGACTGGAACAACCAGCCTCAGAACAGGAACCTATACTGTAGAAACACTGCCTTCAACAAGTGTCTGCACAGAGCTAGCCTGTGACATACAGCTAGAGAATGTTTTTGACTATTCATCAGCAGATTTTCGAATGCACAAAACAAGGTGCCAAATACAGGATAACAACACAGCGCTCACTAATTATCAATATTCTCATTAATATTCTGCCCAGGAGTCTCGGTGCAGAAGAGCTCTGAAACCTATAGAGACAGCATGAGCCCAGGAAATACCAAATACGGGTGGCAAATCCAAACTGTTCACATGTGTTTCAGAAAAATCATCTAAACTTCCAATTTTTCAGAACTTCAAATAAAATCCAATGGTTTTTGATACTTCTGTACATTAACATCAAACTACTCTGTGTTTGAATGCATCACGTTCCACTTAAGAATGTAACATTCTACCTATGTAAGATGCTAAAGCTGAAACAAAAAGAAAATCCACTGCAAACTAGATGCAACTGATCTCAGTATTAATGGCCAGTTAGGATCAACCTATTGGTACGACTATAAGGAAACACACTTCCCAGAAATGTGAGAGAAGGGGGCTTAACATCATCAAGTAACAGCATAACTTCAGCCAAGAACACCAAGAAAATCAAATTATTTTGAAAGACCAAATCAATTTATTCTTCCATCTAGCATCTCCAGTGTCTGTGTTACTTAACACTGAGAATAAAGGACCACTCCACTGATTTGGCTTTTTTTTTTTTTTTAAAAAATAGATTTGCTACCATGTAATAAATTGAAAATCCAGTATCCTCAGAAGCATACTGAGATCACCTGAGGAGGATGCAACTGTTCTGCAAACACCACTTGTAAAAAGAGGCAGTATGAAAAACTGTTGGCATTACGGAAAAAGAACAACTACATACCACAAGAAAAACCAAAACCTATTCAATTGTTTTTGGGGAAAAAAAACAACAACATAACAAAACAACAAAAAATGAAGTAAATCCTTGTTTGCCACTGATTATTTCCCAATTCTGAGTAGAGGGATAGAAATAGCTAACAAGCTCATTCTATAAAAGCAGTACGGTTTTCTTAAAGACATTGTTAAAACTCAAGAAATTGTGGGAAAACTTAAATGATTGTTAATAGGGAAAAGAGACGAAATAGACTGACCACAACTACTACCTTTAGTGTTAACTTGGATAGTTATTTCCAACAGGACACAGAGTTCACGCAATCTCTGAACAGACTACCAACGAGACCTCCCTCTAGTACTGTTTCTCATTCATATCAGGAATTCCATTAGTTGAGCTCAGAAATCTTCACATGACCCTAAAGATTCAACAACTGCAATTCTCCTTCAAGTTGGAAATGTAGAATCTAAATATTCTAATAACTAATAACTAACTTCAAGTGCTCCTATGCAATCCTTGCCACAAAAGCTACAGGAAATGACCCACTGCCAGAAATTCTAGTTTAGTAATTCCCTAGAAAAGAACCAGAAAGCTGACAAATTTCAGCCTTCAAGCCTGCAGTTACAGATTTTTCACTCTGACTCATAAAGTGCCTCTAAATGCCATTAATGCAACCCTTAGCTCACCCTTTCTGAAGCCTTCTGTAAATTCAACCCTTTGCAAGTGGCTCATGACACTGGCACAAAATTTACCAAAGGAAACAATGGTTTGCTCTTCAACACAATGCTGGAAAAGCTGCAGTGTCTCAGTTTGTATTTTATAGCCTATTTCACAAGGCCAAAAACTAATTACCCATTTTGAAATATTTTATTTACATACTTCAAGTTTTGGTAGAATGCGAAAAGCCTCTCCATGCAGAAGATAAAATGTTAAGAAGACTGTCATTATGATACCAAAATTTTCTTTTTTTTTTTGTATTTTTTCAAAGTAAAATCACTGCTCATTTTCAATATTAAAACAGCATAAAATGCATTTACATTAAGCTGAAAATAGCTTAGTAATCTGAAGTTTTCTACCAAGAGAAATCCGTCAGATAACATGTTAGTTCTACACTGCAGTGAAATGCCTACACAAATGTCTCCTGGTTTTAATTTTGTTACTGTTGTGTTTCAGTTAAAATGTTTCAGTTCTCTTAACAAGTACAAAACAAGTATCCAAAGAAATTCCACAGATTTTGATAAAATACCTACAGCAAGTATTGTGACCACCCAGTATTCTGCATTACAGACACACATATAACACATAAGCATATATAACATATGCATACGTATGCATCCACACTTTGAAGCCTCTCACCAATTGTCACGAACTACCTCAGAAATTCCTAACTAGGAACTGGCTCATTTCTTTATCTTCTTTCATCATTTTGTAATGTTCTGGCTTGAGTCACTGTAATCCGTAAGTTTAGCAACATGTTCTAATGCATCCATACTTAAGCAAACTGGATCTAAATGTAGGAATTTGTACAAGACAGCTTGTTTCAAATTCAAACTGTTCTCCTTTCTAATTTACAGGCTAACTGTTTGCTACATCAAAGAGGAGGAGAAAAGCTTTTGTATGGAAATTTGAAGCGCTTGAAGAACTAATATTTAAATTATGTCAAAAATATAAAAAAAATCCTCAATAAAATACTTCCTAGTAGCACAGAATTTGACCTAATAACAAACCGAATTCAAGGTGCACTCACGTCTTGAAAATTCATGACTGTATAGTAAATGAAATACAGCAGAAATAATTTAAGATCTCAGAAATAAGGCATTATCGATTTTTATACAAACTAGGAATTGCGAACAGCACCAGAAACTCAAAACACTGTTCCTCTTTCTTATTTCCAGTACTGGAGCATCACAAGTTCTCTCAGGTACCCAATTCCTAATCACAAAAGAACCTGGATCCTCAAGAATGTACGTGCAGTTCTCCCTTCTCATTTCATCCTTCGTTAGAACCGGTCAGTACCTGTATTTACACAGATGTTGCAACAGTTTCCTTCCTAGACCAAAATTATTTCTGGAAGGATGGAAGGACAGAAGGGAAGCAGTCAACAAATTACTGTATTTATTAAAAACAAAAACAAACAACGCTAACTGCATTTTAGTAGCCATTGGGAATATTAAGTTCAAACAGGAGCTTCAAAGCTGAAGTATTTTCTAAATTTACAGTATTAACAGTTCCACATTGACTTGCATTATTAATTATGAAATACTTGTTCTTTTTGTAACTGTAAAAAAAAAAAATGTTGCATCTTAAATAAACATTGAGATATCAGTGTGGAAAAACTAATCAAACTCTCCTATTGATTTTTTTCTTTAAGTTTACTCAAGCAAAACAGACTGCAAATAATGATTTGTGTGCATAAGGGCAGGCATTTCCTCCCCCTCCTTTCCACCTCTCGCCTTCCCACTCAGCTGCAAACATTACCTCCCTGTGAACGTGATCTCAACAACAGCCTCAACATAAAACTACAACTGCATACCAAACGTGGTATGGTGCAATCATCTCAATTTTTTAAATGATTACTACTGTAAGTCTCAAAGCATAATGAACTGCAGAAAGCAAGCTTAGAAAGGCTGAATGCATCCATTAGGAGCACAAACACTTAATAAAGTACATTTTAAAAGTTTTACAGTCGCTCGTCAGGCCAGTTCTCTAAATCTGTTCATTACAGGATTTAACAAGTGCTACAGTTGAGACAAAACGTCATCAGCATTAACTACAACTTTCAGCCAATAAAATTTTACTGCCAATTTGCTCCACGCTGTATTTATTCCACATGCAAATTCATAATTGATACTGCAACTCTCAATTAAAAAAATAAAAATATATCCCTGGTTTCAGATTAAGCTTACCTGTCTATTTTTTGGAGGCTGCAGAGTACACAGTGTTCCTGAAGGAAAGATCTAACTATCTGAAATTTACAGACTGAGTCCAGAGCTAGCCTAGCCAGATAACAAAAAGATCTGGGACCCTTTCTGCTCCATGCATTCAGAGGAAACGGACCTACTTAATAGAATTCAACAATAGCTACAACATACATAAAGCACATGGTACTTCTAAGTTTGCTTTAAGCTAAGACAGCAGTATCTACCCAACATATACAGAGCACTCACCTGACTATGGTTAATGGCTGCATGGTTACCATGAAAAGGAGAGTGTCTTTCTTTATCCCGATGGTGCCTGCTGCTGTGTTTGCTTCTCTGCAACTGCTGACGCAATTTTGCAATCTAATTAAGAAAAAAAATCACATTAGATTTCACCAGATATGTTCCACTACACGGTGTTTCATTAATTTATTCTAATACCTAGCTAAGATTCTTTACTACCACAACTTTCATAATTACTGGCAGCACAAAATTAGACTCAAGTTCTTAACAAAATTAACGTGTTATTTACCATTTCAACTCAATCCCAGAAAATATCTCTGGAGATTTAATCAAAGCACTTGAAATATACAAAGCAGTTATGCCACTGCTGGATTTCTTCCTCTGACAAAGAATATTATCTGAAAATAATACTCTTCCTCTCTTCAGCTTAAATGTTTTAATGGTTCAACATTTCTACGAGAAATCAGTACCACAAGAATAGATATCACTTTCTATCAAGCCCAAGGATTATACACTAAAGCAGTACAATAGTCACACCTTCCTGAAAATTCGTGTTAACAGTGCATGCCAGCAGCAAGCGTATTCAAATGTATCTCAAATAATTGCACTCCTGACCTCCTTGAGTTGTTCCGTGCTGCCCCATGATGCTGAGCGCTTGTGGGAGCTTCTCTTCTTTTCCAAATATTCTTCAGCCCAGGCACTTTCAGTCTGCGGCAAAAAGATTACAAGATTATTTTTGTGTGTTTAAATACATTGTTTCTATTTTCTGGAAGAATATACATAGAAAAATTACAAGAGAGAACAGTGTTAAAGTCTGCTAGATTTCGAGCTGTGAGTAAAAAGCTATCACTGACTAGGAGCCTTCCTGATAAGTAAAATATGAACATGTGGAGTAAAACTATGTATTTATAAGTTTTCAGACCTACTCCCAGTGCAGGAATATATTCTAGTTCTCCTCCTACTTGACTGAAAATTGATAAGGTGGTATTAACAACCAGATGTACCACAAGCTGCTACAATGCTCTGAAGAACCTGTAGCAACCAATGCAACATGTGGGTGTTCTTTCCTACACAGATGCTGACCTTGTTATTTCTGATGCATCACCAAGATTAGTTTAGAAGTTGGGAAAGCCTGCACCAGCACACCTTCAAAACCATTTTCAAGCTCAGAAGATTGAGAAAAAGGCAGGCACCTTTTCTGAGCACCAGCAGAGCTACTGCAAAGAAGGGAATTCACTAATGCCTCTAAGAGCTTCAGGTTCATAGCTGTCTCAGGTCAAACAGAAACCAACCAACATAAAACCAAGCTAGTTTCACTAAGTCAACAAAGCTATCTATGTTTCATAAGGATGCAAACACATAGTGAAAAGCCTTAACATCACCTGCAACAGGTTTTACGTTTGATATGAACAGCCTGCAAGCTAACCTTACTTACCTCATCTATTCTGAGAACAAAAACTTGCAAGGGCTTTGAAGATGTAGAATAATCCCTATTTTGCAGGGAAAATGGAGGTCTAACTCCAAACATACAGCTTCAATACCCATCAACTTCAGTTATGGTATAAGTGTCACGTACATGCAACCTCCACAACCAGTAATTTTTCACCTTCACCATTCCAACTCAAAAACTAACCAGGATGAATCTGAATAATGAAGTTATTCAGATTCATCCTGGTTAGTTTTTGAGTGAAAATGAATGAATAATGAAGTTAGTGCAGTTGCTTGGGAATTCCTACTTCATAGCAAAGTTAGAAACCACAGTTTTCAGAAATCCCCCATCTTCACCACAAGATCATCCTTTCAGTCTTTTACATTGCATAAACACTTTCAAACTTCAAAAACTAAGATTAAAAGAGAACGACTGACAAACCCAATTTATGAACTCACCATGTTAGCAATTCCCAAACCTCAATCTGGACTGTCATCCTATCCTCTAGCTCCTGGAACAATTAGTTTTGGCCAACTCAGAGTAACTATGACTCTTGTCTACAGGAATCTCATTAACATTCTAATCAGTCTTTGCATTTAGTTTATATTGGATACTTCGCCTTAAGATTCACCACACTTCATACGTTGATGTCTGACTCATTTTAAAGGGCCAAAGGTCTCTTTCCTGCTCATCTTCAAAACCCAGTTAGAAATATTTTTAGAGCAAAAATAAGAAATCGAAGGGCTTCCTATAAATTAATAAGACAGAAATATAATATTATTTTAATAGATCTCCTACATCTTTGTCATACTTTGTTTTTAATACGTATTTTCAAGAAACATAGACCAACAGCCACAGAGGGAGATTTCTGGTTCTCTAAGCTATTAACATACTACACATGCTGGTTACTTGTTATCATTCACAACATTCTTCTGCCCATTCCAGAATTAGGGGGAGAAATAAGCTTAAAGCTAATTTTATTTAAAATTATTACTTTAAATTTGGTTTTCAGTCTTTCCAAGTGCACTTGCAAGCAACCATTCAAGTTAGGTCCAATTTTCAAATTGGATCTAAAATTCAAAATTCAAATAAGTGTTCTTTATTAAGAACACTTAATAAAGTAGTCTTAATTCCAACTACAGAGTTTTGGTTTCCAAGTACTTTTTTAAGAATTCAAAAAATCCAAAACTACTGTCTCACGTTAAGCTGTGCTTTGATGTAGCTTTAATTCGAACAACTACAGGCAAAGCCAAACTGGTCCAATTTAAAGAAAAAGACTTAGAAATACTTGCTCCAGCAGTGTTTAAAACAATACCCATATCTACACATTCTGACCAGAGCCTAAGGTGCTCAATAATACCATACTCATCAGTCAGTAACATTCTACATGTACTTAATTCAGTCTGGTTTTTATAGGTGGGTTTCACCAAAAGCAGTTGAAAACTGTACGGGCTGCTATATAGACAGTCCCTACTTCATCTCTTATACATTTTGCCAGTTATGACCTATGGGCATCTAGAAAGGTCTTCAAGTCCAAAGTATGTTGCTAATTGCTGCCTCCTCCCAGTTTGCCTCCTGAATGACTCTACTTTCAATGCCATAAACCTGCAGAACCAAGATCCATCACTTACTCAAGTTGAAAATCTTTTATATTAGTCAATCCAATTCATACTCCCTGAAGTTTTGCAATCTAAACACAGTGACCATACTGCTGAAAGGCAGTTCCACCAGCAGCACAGTCATATTGTACACACAGAAATAAGCTTTAGCTATCAGTTTTCCCAGATGTGACATTCTTCTTTTGATCTGAACATGAAGGTAATTGCAGTCATTCCCTTCACACACAGTCTGAAACACAAGCGTTTTGAAGTGTTGTATTCTGAACAGTAATTTCCAAACACTTGTAAATGGTATAGAATTGGGTGCATACATTCATCTGTTACATACTGACACACCACCTGTGTTATCAGAACTCAGACTGTGATGCCAGCCAGAATTCAGTAAGTCACACCTAGAAAAGCCACATCAGACACACAGACCTAAAGAAGTAGGTGAAATGAGGGACACATCAGACTTCCTGAAACTCCCCACTGGACCCAAGATATGTTGTAAGTGACACTTCATCCCAACGTCACACCTTCAGAAACTAAATAATACCACTGGATAGCCAATGCCTCCTTGGAAAAATAATAATTGTAAATCATGTTTGAAAATCGGGCCTAACTTGAATGGTTGCTTGTAAGTGCATTAGGAAAGACTGAAAACCAAAAAGCCTCAGTGTCACACCAACAAAAGGTTTGGACATACAGATGTACACCTGTATCCCAGAATTTTCTCCACATTTGCTGTATTTTCAAGAAGAAATGAAAACAGATTGTTATTTCCTTCAACAGTATGCTAACATCAATCACCATTAAATATAATCATTGCAAGGAAATACACAATGCCTGTCCCACAGATCTTTGTTTCCTTTTATATATAAAAACACAATTACTATTTCAGTTAGGTGTGGCAGAATTAGAAGAAAAAAATAAAAAGAAAAATGTATCTAATCTATCTGAAAAAAAAACCCCATATAATAAAAAGCCAACCACAACTCAAATTAAAATGAAACTAAGCAAAAAGAAATGAACTGAATATTGCAAATACTTTGGCAGTAGCATAGAAATAATTATTTTGAGAAAAGTGTTATTCTAAGAATTCAAGTGTGAAAATAAATAGTTAAGACACCACAGAGGTTTGGTTCTGCTGTTTGATGGTGTCTTTTAACAGCTGGGCATGAATAGCCATTTCTTATATATATCATACACCTTCCTGTATCCTCCCCCTCTTACTATGATTTGCTTACCCTTTTAGCCCAGTCTTCCAATCATTTCTCCTGTTCATTTTCAAGAAAACTTGTTTTTCAGCTCTCCTTTTTTTCATCAGTTTCTATTTCCACCTTATCCACACAGACTTACTCCTCTACAAACCACCTTCCTTTACTACTGAACTAGTTTTTGGGTTGTGCAGACTTTAGTTTTTTGCACTAAATGTCAAGAAAGCCATACGGTAACAACCAACACTGTAGACATCTGCTCAACATCCAATACGTTTGAGGACACAGCACACAAATCTATTACAGCTATTCTTCTATTATTGCTACCAAACACAAGGCAGGCTCAGTCTCAAGTATGTCCCAGATGTTGCCAGTTTATCTTCCAACTATCATTCTCTTATATTCTTTGGAACTGGTAGAGACCCATTGTTCAAACCATGCACTAGGATTAGGGATTAAAAACTTGAGATACTTGGCTCTTTCTTTCACTCTAAGATTGGGAAATGCGCTGCCCAAATGCACCCAGAGAACACGGGAAGAAATGCCAATATCTGATGGAAATGCATTTATATATTTTTAAAAAGTGACCTGAATCACTTTTGTATGGATTCTGAATCGATATAAAGCAATAGCTCCCTACAAGGGGAATGATAAGCATCACACCCTTGTAACGGAGCTTCGCTTAATTGTTTGTCTTTACAGATTCCACAGTTACAAACCATTAAAAACTTGTGTATGATTTGTCAAAAAGTTGTAACAGCTTCAGAGAATTTCACATCACTGTTTTGATGCTCTGCAGTTCAGTTAAACACGAGCATCAGTCACGCTTCTGTGAAGCAGGTTCTCAATGCACGTGCTTCTGCTCTATATGCATACATTCCAGGTGAATATTAAAGGCCTTTTGCAATCACAGGATCAACTGTCTATTAAGGAAAAGGCTACAGTAACTTCTATGAAGGCACTAGAGAAGCTTTTTTACTAAGTTTGGAGACAGACAGACATATAAAGAGTCATTTTAAGTTCCTTTGTGTAAATTAAGACACAAAAACATTTAACACCAGAGCATTCCAGTGTCCTGCACACAGTCAGAACAATGAGAAAACAGATCATACAATCATATATTGGCTTGAGTTGGAAGGGACCTCAAAAATCATCTAGTTCCAACCCCCTACTGTGGGCAGCATCGCCACCTGCTCGATCGGGCACCAGCTCAGGCTGCCCAGGATCTCTTCCAACCTGGCCTTGAACACCTCTAGGGATGAGACATCCTCAACTTCCATGGGCAGCCTGTTCCACAACTTCGCCTCCCTTTCAGTGAAAAATATCTCCGACAAATAATCTACATCTCCTCTCTTCTAGCTCAAAACCATTTCCCCTTGTCCTATCACTATCTACTCACATAAAAAGTTGATTTCCCTCCTGCTTATAAGCTGCATTTAAGTGCTGAAAAGCTGCTATCAGGTCTTCCTTGTACCTTCTCCAAGCTAAACAAGCCCAACTCCCTCAGCAGATGTGCAATGCACAAATGCCTTTCTGAGATAATAAAGTGGAACTCATAAAATGTATCACAGTTCACGATTTTAGAGAATGCAAATAACTCAAATACATCATTGCAAAGGCACAATTTCTGCAACTTGAAAGCAAACAGGAGCTTGTGAGCAAGAAAGCCAAAGCGAATGCTCAGAAGGGAATAACCCTCTTACATCTAAACACTGTCCTTATACTTAAATACGCTGACGTAAAATAAATGATCTGACCAACCTGTGTGGCTTTGTCTCTCATACATGGAACAGCTTGTCCATGATTATCACGAGGCCACTGTCCAGCAAGGTAGGGAGCAGCAAGTGTATCCAATGAGGAAGTCCGGCGAATAATACTGGAAGGGCTTGATGAAGGTGGCCTTGATTTGTCTGCTAGAGTAATAACATCTGATTAGAAAGCAAGAAAAAAAGCTTAATTCTTTTAATTGCCTACAATAAGTCATATAAAACTAGATACTATTATATACTCTAGCACTACTAGAACTACAAGATTATTCAAGATACAAAACATAATTTTAGTGGAAGAATTGTTCACTTTTCCAAGTTCTGATCAGTTATAACACGCAGTGAAATGTCACAAACACTGCATCAGTACCCAAGCACCAGCAGTTATTCCCTCAGAGGTGCAACAGCTACTAAGTGACGAAGGCTCAGATGAAAAATGGCTAGGCTCCTCACATCCACCAACAACTAACCAAGTGCCAAACTTCTTCAATTTAATGCTTAAATTAATGCATTAATTCCTTCCCCTGCACCTACGTGAATTCAAGGGATGTTGTGGCTGAAGTGTTTTATTCCCTGCCCAACATATGATACACAGCAGATTTGCAAAGAGTTCTATCTAACTCCCAGTTCCGTAAGTCAGCTTTGATAAGGTAACGATCTACACTTCACAAGATAATCAACACATTTCCTCCCTTTACACACTGCTTGGTAACTATATTCGTATTTGCCTGACACTAGAGCTTCTGCAACTCTTGCATTTTGATGTTTACACCGATATCACTTCTCAGAACAATTTAGACACTAACACGAGCCTCCTCTGAAAGAGATTTAAAATAACAAAGATAGGAAGCAAAATGAGGCATAGGAACATGGTTAAAAGAAATCCGCATCTGCCAACAATATTTTAAAGCTGCAGTTAGAAGACTGTAAGCTAGTAAGTGTCAACTGCACACAGAAAGGTCCCTCAAAATTAAGGGGTGACATTTACCATATTAAACAAAATTACAGATAAGAAAGACACAGGCCTCAGATATACATATATTCTCATATGCTATTTGTTCTAGATGTAAAATTCAAACTCAGAAATCAAAATGATCTAACTAGCACACTCTTTACTGCCCACAGAATTATACCTGAACCTATAGAGAATACAGAGGCCTAAGATGAGTGGTTAAAACACAGCAAGCAGTATAAAGAGATCAGAAGAAAGCTTTAGAAGGGCTCTGGAAAAGCTCAGTCATACATCCTCTTCCTGACTACGTCTCTGGACAAGTTCCATACTAAAAGCAGAAATACCATGGCAATTTGTATTCTACATAAATTCATCCATGTGCAAAAGAAGCTGTGCTCCGATTACTGTCAGACTGCTAGTCATAAGATAAAACCACTGCCATTAAAAGTCCAGAATTCAATTTCTGTGCCGTTTCAATGTATTAAAGATACACAGAGACTAATAAAACCTGTTAGTTACAGAGGTTCAGTGGCGTGGACAACATTCCCAGAATGCCAGTCTTTTAAATGTAAGTCTACCGACATTCTGTATTAATTATCCTCATACAAACACTGCATTAGGAATATACATTAAAACCATGAAGCACTATAATTATCCACATTAACATAAAGCAGTCCGGGAACCTCATCTGTTTTATTATTTCTAATTGCACCAACGAAGATCAAACTCTGTGTACTGAGCCGAGTGCCGATCTGCTCTCAGGGAGTAGCAACAAAGCTCAGTTTTCAAGTTACCATGCACTTGAAGAGTCCTGTATCAAAGCAAGTCTCTACTACTACCATTCAGCACACCAGAGCGTCTCTTTCTATCAGAAGATTTCAAAATGATTCCTTTTGTCTGCACCATGGGAGAATGTGGCGTGCTAATACAACATGCAAGTCCTTACAAATGATTGCTTCCCACGTTACATCAAACACATTATTTCTCTGAGAAAAACCTGCCGTAGTGCTCTTACTTATTTTTCTTCTGAATTATCACTATTCCTCTTCAAGAAGCTTCTCTCTTCTTTACCAAGAGGAAACAGAAAGGATGTGAGAAAAAATAATCAGGAAGCGCATGGAGTCACTCACATCATCTGCAAGGCAACTGCATCAGACAGCTTCACAATTGAAGAAGCAGAAGCTGCTACTGCCTCCCCTCCCCCGCCAAAATGGTGAGGATGGGGCGAACGGCGGGGCAGAAAGCTGCTTATTATTTAAGTTCAAGGGAAGCAGCATATTTCAAGCTACAAAACCTATGAATATCATAAATTAAAAGAAAAAGACTTTCCCTCAGTGAATTTGGATGTCAGAAGACTGCCTTAATTTAGATAGTAAAGGATAATGGCACACGTTTACTTCCTTTCCACTCTCACAACACGTCTGGACATAAATTGCCACAGACTTCAACTCCACGCTGTTTCAAAACACTTCAATGGAAACACATGCAGCGCCTTCATTGCATTTTCCTCTACAGTACTCCAAGTGCTCAGCTGCTATTTTCCCTTGATGTGACCTACATAACAAGAGATCTGCCTCCATAGAGATAACAGTTACAACAGCTGTGGCTGATGAAAAACAATGGAGATGTTTCATCAAACATACAGTTCTTAAATATTAGATCTGTTTTAATTGCCCCGATTACCTCTTTAAACAAATGTCTGTGGAAAGCATCAACCCTCCTACCCGTCCCCTACTGCCCTAAATAAACCCGCTTAGAATCAAAGTCTTTCTGCAAGCTGGTTTCCAACAAAGCAAAATAAGAGAACAAGATATAAACAGGACACACACAGCACAAATCAACAAGGTCCACAACGTGGGAAAATACCCAGTAGTTACTGCATCTTCATGAGCCACTGCAGCACTACTGAGAGACAGCAAGCCACCTATCCATACATCTAACACACGCATCAAGTGAGCATCCTCGGAAGGCCATTTAAGCTAAGGCAGCATGACAGTGAGACTGGAGAGCAAAATTGAGCAGAGATGCGTAGCAATAACCAACTGAAAAGTAGGAAAGATAACACTGCCTTGGGGTGGGTCTTCCTAACATATCAGTCCCACAACTACAGTCACATTGGTTTCCTTTCTCAGTCGTAAGACTGCACACCTTTGCACTGGAGACCTCACAAAGGAATAATGCCGCAGAGAGAAACTTGTTTATGTTGCACTGCAAGCATTCATCAGGCTCAAATGGCACTGAGACACACAGTACAACCATATGTTTTCCCTCTGGAAGGCAGTCTTGGCTGCTACCTTCCCTTAGATGTAGAAGAGCTACTCACTCATTTGCTTCTAGCAACTCAAAACGATGCCTGGGTAGGAGAATGACTCACTGTTTTACAAAATCAAACCTCTGGGAAAAGTATACAAAACCAAGACTCAGAAAGCCCAAGATGCTCACGTTACTTAATTCCAGTGCATGAAAACACTTCTAATTTAAACACTCTCCCTGGCAGTGCTGGCCACAAGAAATCTAAATTATGATGTTGCAAAAAAGGAGTTCACTTTCTGTACACATATCATTTGCTAAACAGCTTACGCAAGCAAAGCAGTCATCTGATGATACACAAAGCCTTTTGTACTCTCTTAACCTACAGTCACGTCTTCTTTAAGTACTGCAACATTCGGCAATTAATGTTGATAGGTCTGCAGCTATTATTTTGCTTTTCACTAAGTTTTAGAAATAAAGAAATTCTACAGTGACATTTAGGTGTGATGGAGTTCCACATCCTCTCCCTCCAGCCAGGACAAGTTCACATCCAAGCTTGATGACTTCCTGATATTACATTCTAACAGTCTCTTTCACTTCCTTTCACACAAGTGGGCTTTAGTGTCACTTTTTCATGTACTACTCTAAATAATTAAAATACAAAGTAGTTTGAGATAGATGTAAAAGGGAAGAAAGTCACCAGGCTTTACAGATGCCAAACTTGTTATGTAGAAAAGGAAGATGTGCTGAGAGAAAGGGAAAAAAACATGACCAAGTTCCTCTAACAGAGGTGTGCAGATGAGTAAAGATGCCTATGAAAGAACGGAACCACAACTGGAGATGGCAGGAGACAGCATAGGAATGAGGGTTAAAAGTTAGTCATCATGCAGGTGACAGGAACTACAGCACAAAATCAGCACTGATTAATATGGAAGCAGAAGCCAAAGCCTGTGAAATCAGTGCTGGAGACTGCAGGGAGAGAGTATCAGAGAACAAAACAGTGTTTTGTGTTGTGAAAAGATCTAAACTCTTGGTCTTACCTTGGGAGGAAGCAGGAAGAAAAACACAGAAATGGAGGGACCGTGCTACCACACCTCCAGCTTATAGTTACCCCATCATCAATAGCAAATTCAGCTAAGTGTTTTGAACATCTAGTTGCAATTCTGCTTGGGTTAGAATACCTAGATCTAAAGCAGACAAACCAAACCAGAAAATACACACCCAGAGAAAGAACCTATTGAATTAACATTTTCTATATCTAACTTGGAGCTCCTATATATTAAGGAAGATGATAAAAAATCCCAGTTCAAAGTTATTCAGAACATTCAGAATTATTCAGGTGTTCAGAAAAGAATGCCTGAAAACCATGAAGTTAAGCCTAAAGCGTACAATCTGAAGAATCAGTAGTGAAGTTCAGAAGCAGCTACCATTCGTCTAACCTTAAGGTTCCTTTCAATCTAAAGAAACAAACAAAAACAGTAATCCAAAACCACAACGTGGGTGCAGCTATAAGAACAAACAGAAGCCACCAAAAACTGAAAACAAGAAGCAGGAAAACCTGTTATTCAGTAGTAGGCTCTGAATGTTACCCTACAGTGTCCTGCACAACTCCAGCCCCACACAAAGCTGAAAGTTCCACTTCCACATTCCAGCATGCTGCTACATTTTCTCAGCTAGATGAGGAAAGTGAAGCTGGCTCAGGGTCTGTCAAGCACTGGACTACACTAGACAAATATTAAGCAGTACGAACCAGCCAATTTGCATTTTGGGTCCACGTGAGCACTGCTCAGAAATGTAATCAGGTGGCAGAAAGTAAACAGACACCACTCATCAATCTCTGCACATCTTGTAAGAAGCCAGAAGTTCTGTAAGCATGTGGGTGATGAAGTTACCCGGTTTCTCTCTGTAAGCTAGTTCTCAGATCTGGTAAAGAAGTTCACTAAGCAGCATGGCTCCAGCAGCCCTGACATCCTGACCTGCAGACAGTACGACTTCCACACCCTCAGCAGCCTGATGCACTTTTGAACCTGGCTGTCAGGAGCGGCCGTCCTCCTCCTTGATTTCCAGGTCAGGAGTCTGTGTCTCAGATGAGAGCTTCAATACCATTTCCAGGAAGAAGATTAATGATTAGCAACAGTCTCCAGTGAAGAATATAGACATTCTTCAATCCAGAGCCTCAGAACGCAACCTTCAGTAAAGCAAATCCTATCCGCAAAGCTGGACATCTAAAGCAGAGCCTAAACGCCTCTGTGGCACTGCTCCATACCATACCATACACCTGCTCCCCCAAAATGCATCAGAAAAGTACCTCTGAAAAGAAAGCAAAACAAAGCTAACGCCTGCTTTGTTGAAGCACAGCACCAAGTGATTACGACCAGGTAATGTGGCAGCACTCCTCCTCAGGGGCCAAGATGGGAAATACACAGAGTCCGCCTATAAACGTGCTTTTAGATGAAGGAAAAGCAACAAAAGGAAAGGCGCACGATTTCCGCACGTTACTCAGTGCCCCGCGACGCCCTCACGGAACGGCTGCCGCGGCTTCGGATCCTCGAGCGCCCCTCAGGCAGCGGCCGCGCGCCCCCCGCCCCCTCAGGCAACGGCCGCCGGGCGCCCGGGGCAGCGCTCACCTTTGCGGCCCGGCGAACCGGGACTCTTCCTCTCCGGCGAGCTCCTGCCTCGCTCCGGGGAGTGCCGCGGGTGCCGGACCCTGCCCGCCGCGGAACCGCCCTCCGGCAGCGGCGAGGAGCACGGCGAGGACCCGCAAGCGGCCGGCGGGGGCGGCGGGGGGGGAGGCGGCGGCGGCAGCTGGTGCGGCCGCGGGGGGCTGCCCCGGGCCCCGCCGCCGCGCGTAGGGCTGCCGCCTCCCCCCGGCGTCTGCGCGGCCGCGGCGGGGCCGGCCCGCCCGCCAGTGGGCGCCGCGCGCGTGGGGCTGATGCTGCGCGAGGCGGCCGCCGCGCGCGCGAGACCCCCGCCCGGGGCGCTGGCGCCGCTCCTCGTGGGGCTGCCATGTTGCTGCTGCTGTTTGAGCTGGAAGGGCACCGTGGCCCGCATGGGCTGCAGACGGCCGCCCGCTCCCGCTCCGCCGCCCGCCGCCGCCGCGCCCCCTCCCCCGGGGGAGGCGGCGGGGGTCGGGGAGCCGCCGCGCCGCACGCGCTGGTGGGACATCGTCCGCCGGGGCCGGCGGCGGGAAGCCGAGAGAAGGGCGAGGGGCGCGGGCGGGTCCTCGCGGGGATTCGACGCCTCGGGCGGCCGCCGTGCCGCGCTCCGCTCGCGCCCGGCCCCGAGCTCCGCACGCTGCCCGCCGCGCCGCCGTGCGCCTCATCAACAATAGTGCCCCGGCCGCCCGCCCCGCCCCGCCCGCCCCGCGAGCACTCCCATTGGCCGCGCCGCCGCTCGGCTCGCGCAGTTACGGCGCGCCCATTGGCTGCGGGGCGCGCTGCGGAGCGGCCGGGCCTGCGCGGGGAGCGGGAGAGGGCCGCGCTTAAAGCGACACGCGGCCCCGCGCCGCCCCGGCACGTGCCGCGGGGCTGTGGCTGCGGGCGATCCCCGCGGGCCGGGCGGCGGGGGCGGCGCAGCGGCTCCGGGCCCCGCGGGGAGAGCCGTCGCGTGGGAGCCCGCGACCCGGCGGGGAACGGTGACCCGCGAGCGGGAGCTCGTCACGGGAGGCGGCCGCGCGGCAGCGGTAGGCTGCCAGCGCGGCGCTGGGAAGGGCGAGGGCTCAGCGGCGGCTTATCCAATCGCCTCGCCACCGGCTTAGCGCTACTGATATGTGGGTAATATCTGGGCAGACTTGGCCCTCCTTCCCCTTAATCGCTGTGTTTACTGCTCTTCGCCAGGTTCGTTGTGTCTTCTCCTCGGTACTTTAAGGGTAGCGGGTGGCTGCAGGCGTTCTCTTAGCCTGATGTGTCCTTTGGCGAAGAGAATGCAGCTTTGTGTCAGGCTGCTGCTCATATGCTGAATCCCTTAGATGCGAGACGAGCGGCCCTCAGCACCTGCAGGCCACGAAGGAATCCATCAGTTCTATTCTTTGTTGTCTGTGCCAGTCCTGTGCTACATATGAGGACTGTCCTGAACCAAACGCCAAGTTCTCGTCAGTATTGCTCTGCAAGATGTGTCCTACAGTTGAGTACCACTGCCATGACACAAATGGTGTGACAACAAATTACGTGCTGCTCTCCCTTGGACAGGTGGCTTATTTCTCCTCTCTCTGGTGCTGTTTCTGATTGAAACCCCCTTCGCTGAAAAGCCCCATCCCCTTTTGCAGAGCTCCATTTGTGTAGCTGACACTTTTGACAAGCTTGAAAAGCAAGTTGCTGTGTGTAGGCCCTTTGTAACAGTGCTTGGGCACAGGTCTAATTCAAGCCTTGGGAGTGGCAATCAATTTTTGCAATGGGAAATCAGACTGGCAGAAGAGAACAGGGTTGATGTGTGACTAGAGGAGGTTGCTATGAAGCTAGTCGGCTCTGGTGCACTGAAATAATTAAACTTTGTTCAAAGCTCATGATGCTTGCTCACAGGCTACATAATGGCAATGTAGACTCCATGACAGCAGATGGGTTAGCCAAAGCTGTGTTCAGCATTGAGAACTGTTCTGGGCTACAGGTTAACCTATGTATACTTGGCTTTGTTGTTGCAATTTTCAATCTAGAGCAGAAAATGTACTCGACTGACCTTCCCGCTGTGCCATCACCCACGGCCAGTGCAGTTGCTCAGCAGGTTTTCATTCCTTGGGTTATTTATCTTCTCCAGAAATACTGGGGTTGTTTGGAAGAGACATGTCATAAAGGTATTCTTAAGGCATTAAATATTATGAACAAATTCTAATTCCTGTTGCTGTTTTGAAGAGGCAAAAAATGAAAGGTATTGATTTATATCTTTTTTGTATGATGTGCTTTTTGGATCCAAGTCACAATATTTGTGACAATTACAGTGCTTCCTGCATTCTTGTCACAACTGCAAACATGGCACTGCCATGCACAGTTCTGTATAAAGCAAAGCATTTACATGTGCTGTTTCTCAGCAGCCGTGTTGCTTTGCGTGTGTTAGAGATGAACATTCGACGTGTAAAATCGTGTACTCAGACCGAATCAGACTGTATGTGCTTCATACATTCATTTGCTTAAACTAACAAATGTGTTGCAACAGGATCTTACTCCTACACCCTATGGAAATAAAAGAAACAGCTAAAGCAGTATTATGAATTACTTGCGAGTAGTTCAGAAACGTTCTTAATAAGACAAAAGTCAAAGTAATGCCCCCCTGCAGTGGTTTGCATCCAGACGTCCCCCCCTGCTGGCAGTGCACATCTCCCCACACCTGGATTTATCCCAGCTGTCACACGGCTTCCCACATTCTGACCTGCTGGATGGTGCCCGGGCTCCGCTCCACACATTTCATTCAGCTTCATGCAGCACCTGTAGGCTGTGCATTCGTCCCATCAGTGGCTCTTACTCTGCCCATAACACCTGATGTGATGGTGCCAACAGGAATCCAAATAAAAAAACAAATGAAAACGATTGTCACAAAGGCTGTGAGCCTTCTTCCATCATCTCCCAAACCAGCCCTTTCATCAGTCAGACAAGGGCCGGGGAGGTATAACTAAGTTCATAAGCCCCAGTCCCGGTGTACTCTCTACAAAGAAAACTAATACTTAAGGAACTTTGCTGTCCTGAGGACCAAAGGTTTATTAGTAGAATCACTCACTGCTCATAATAATGCATATGAAAAACCTACTGTTAAAAATATCAGAACGAGCAAACCTGATGGAAAACAAATGCACTCCAAGTAGCTTCAAATGTGTTCTTGTCTTATTCCGAAATTAAATAAATGCAAAGCAGCACACATAAAGGAGAGCTCTTCTGCCTATAATTGTTACAGCTAAAGTAGTTGCAAGTAATGTTGAGGGTTGAAAGATTAAAGACTCCAGGAGTCTAATCTAAACAGTAAATTATGCCCCAGGATATTTTGCTGCATTTCCCATCTCTCCCCTGCAGAGTGGGTTAGCTTTGTTTGTCTGAGAGTTCAACAGCAACAAGGGAAAAAGACATTTTGAGGTAGGACAAATATAATGGAATTTGCTTCTCACAAAGCCTTTAAGATTCCACTTAATACTGCAGAATATCTGGGGGGATCTGGGAAAGCAGGCAGATTGAAAATAAGGTATTAAGATTAAAACAATAAAAACAACAGATGGGGTCTAGGACATAAGTCAAGCTTCATGTAGTAAGTAAAAGGCAACTCAAAGCAAAATATACATACCACATGTTATAAGGTTACACTCTTTAAGAAAAGTAATATGGTGAGGTGTCAATCCCTCACTGGCATTAAAATAGTACGTTGCACATAACTCCTTCCTTCCAACAACAAAGATTTCCTTCCCTTTAGGTGGTAGTTCTTTAAAAAGTATGCTCCAAAACCTTATTATTTATAGCACAAAAGCACAGAGCTTGCAAAATAATACCAAGGTTTGTGTGCATTTGTACTATGTGTAGAGATGTAACATTTCTGTATTCCTAGTCCATAGGCAGAACAATGCATATGAACTGTAGAAGAAAACTCTTGGCCTAAGAATATCTAACACTGCTCTCACAAGCCACAGACACAATTTCTACTCTATTCTATGAGTATAATGTGTTACTGTTAGTAAAGTGTTTATTTCAATCATCAAAATTGTCAATTAACTAGATAATGGAAATATTTCAATAATGAATGTTTTATGGCCATGTTACAGAATGATAAACATTCCGTATATGTGATTAATAGGCACAGATCTGTAAATGCTATTCACTTAAGAGAACCTAGAAGACAGAAAGGTTCTTCTCATTCATATCTACAAACTTGACTTGCTTCTGTTTGTTTTCATAGCATTTATAAAAGCCCAAGAAGTTGTGAAAAGCATTCTAGCAGCATGGTTTATTGGTTCACTATGAAGGAGAGATGAAATAACATGACTTCTCTCTCCACATACATATAGTAACCTTGCTGTTGCTAGTTTAATTTACTTTAGCAGAGTGTGTGATGCGGTGGGGGCATGGGACTCTGAATTGAGAAAATACCTATTCAGAGAACAAGTATCAAGTAGTGCTCTGAAGCCTCCTTGCATTGAGCCCTGAGAAGTATGGGAGGTTTTAATTAGCCTGGTCACGCCTATCAGTGTGTCTCTGTGCTATCCCATCCTCATGCATCACACCTTGCATTCAGCCTGACTTTGCCTCAAGGATGGCCAGAGAGAGAACATGGTCTTTGAGAAGAAGAAAATAAAGCCAAGCTAGATAAAGCTCCATGTCCCAGTGCAGCTAGCAGCCCCTCATCCAACACGCAGCCAAAATCAGACAAGCTCCATTTAAAGTTTGTGTGCTCATTCTAAAAATGTGCTTGGGCTGTGATGAACTGCCTTAGGAAGATGCTGCCCTTCTCATAGGAATTGAAATGCATCTAGATCTGTTGTTTCCAGACTTTCTCATTATTTGCTTCCTTGAATTTTGCCCCGTGCTCCTGTGATCCCCCATCTAGAAATGCTGCTTACTCAGATGCTGCCCAGTAAATAGAGACATGCTTTCCTTAATCATCTTCCATTGCTCCCTCCCTGCAGACAGGGCTTCCCCAGAGCCTACCAGCTGCATTCAGGCAGAGTTAGCCACTCAGGACCACATTTGTGCATCTCTCCCAGACTTTCCCTATAGTGCTGGAATCTGAAGAGAGGAACATCCTCTGACATAAAAGTGAAAGGCTTAAGAGTACCATTTAAATTCCAGAAATTAAAACATTTTAACTCACTGAAGGGGAATGACAACCTTTTGGGCCAATATGAAAAGGTGATTTTTATACACATGCAAATATTTTGTTATGCTGGATTTTTCCCATCCGTGTAAAATTAACCTTCTTATCCAATAGAATGTGCTTTGTATCACGCCAGAGAGCAGATGTCCATAATCTCTTGCACACGGAGAATTTACATAACATCAGAATTAGCAAGAAGTAAGTGGGGAGGGGGAACCTGAATGGAAACAAGTGGAAGACTGATGTGGCTGTGTTCCACAAAGTACATTCAGCAGCTGCATCGCTGCTCTGGAACAAAAGGGAATACAATTATTGTTGTTTTACTTTCATTTCCCAGCAGCAAAGCAAAAGCTGAATGACAGTGGTTATTTTTGCAGGAGAGCTGGCTCAAGCATGCACATGAGGTCCTGCAGGGAAATCTCTGAGGAGAATATTCCTTAGCACTGAATAGCTCACACGCCCAGTAAAAAATAGATCAGTAAAATTCACCAGTAACACGTTGTTATTGCAGAGCTGACTCAAGGGTTCTTGGATGCCCCGAGGATAAGACTCCGCCACACCTGCTGGGTTAGGGCAGGACTTGGCTGCTCTTGCTGTCTGCAAGGAGTGATAATAGCTGAGGGGGTGGAGGGCATCTACTACTTTCCACACAGCTGCCCCACACACAGGTTCCCAGACTTTCTTGGGAGCAACAGTCCAGCTTTCCAGGGTACTAGCAAAGGTAAAAGAGGCACACAATTCCTGGTTTTGCTGACAATCAGCATTCCCCCAACTTGCTGTAGAGCTGCCACCAGCATCTCCCTCATGCCAGAAGGAGAGGGAAGGGAGCTGCCTGCAACAGGAAATGAGCTGTGTGTGCTTCCCAACATATGAGAGCTCCAGGTGGCCCCAGCCTACAATGACTCTTCCCAACTACAGCCTGATGGGAAAGTGTCAATTTCTTGGAGCTCACCCTGAGAGGACTTAAAAGAGCTCAAGCTCCCATCACTGTCACCAAGACATCTGGATAAAAAAACGAGCCCTGTGAGCCTGTCCTTAAAGCTTTAAACGTAAGTAATAAAATCTGGTTTGCTAGCCTCTCTTCTCCTGTGATCTGGGATTGCTCAGTTATCCTGAGCCAAGAGCAAGCCACAGCATGCAAGCACAGTGCTGTCTTTCAAGGAGGGACCTTCTCCTTGTCAATAACTGTTTTAATCTCCTAATCCTTTTCATGCAGAAACCCCCCAGGGAGCTGCAGATCCAGCCTGGAACATCGTGGGAGGCTGAGGCTGCTTCCTGCTCCCAGGAGAGGTGAGGCTTGTAATGGTCCCTCCCTATAGCCAGGGGTTCATGAATTCATTTGTGATACTGTGTTGATTTACAGTATAGGCAGGAGTTCAACCTGTGCACTACTTGCCTCAGTTTGTTACTTCATCCTTATTTACGATGGCAAGAAAGCTATTCATGCTGTGTCTTTCATTTGCATTTTGGAGGTAGTCCTCTGGCCAAGGAAGTGTCAAACTTGCAACACCATCTCGTTTGCTTGCAAAAATCATTATCACTGTGGGTACAGAAAAATAGACAGGAATTAAGTAAGGAAATGTAAACACCAAAGCAACTGAGGTGTGCAGGATGGGCCCCACCAATCTATGTCTAACAGGAAGAGCTAAAGCCAGTGAGGTCTCACCATACAGTGCTTGGTGCTGTAAGGTGCAAGATGCCTGATGCAGCACTCTCAGATGCACACAAATGCTATTTAGTTGCCAATGCAAGCATCTTAATTGCTGACCAGTGAGAATGGTCAAAACAGCAAGAAGAGACACTGCATTAATGTAGCAAAGGCAAGCTTTGGTTATTTCACAGTCATCTGATAACAGTGCAAAGTACCATCTGTCACATGCCCAAGGTATCCCAAAGTCTTGTTCAGCTCTCAGTGATGATGTAATTCCTCATCCTTCCATCCACCAACAAAACAGATCTGCAATAGTTCCACTCCTCCAATCCTGGGAGTGTGTCTTATTACTCATGGCCAGTAACACCACAGAAACCCACAAAAGACTATGCTTTTTGTCATTAATATGATCTTTAATAAATGGAATAATGCACCATTTTACAGCAAGCCTTTTCTTTTAGACCTAAAGAATAGCCTTTTAAATGTTCTTATCCCATGTCTCTGTATCAATACAATCTCTTTATTTAGGTTTATATATAACAAAGCAATTCTTACAAGTATTCATAGAAAACTCTGTAGTGGCTTTAACAATGTCAGCTTTCATAGTGGCATCCACAGATGATTAAAAAACAAAACTTAGCTTTTATTTCATACTCACACTGTTCCATGAAACACAACTTATACAGCATAGCAAGGGTACTGGGCAGCTTATACAAAAGAAATAACTGAAAGCAATTATTTATAAATTCATACATGATATTTACTCAATCATTTGAGAGAAAAAAACAAAAATACCCGTTAACAAAAGGGTTCTGATGAGAATCCATATTCTAGGGTTTCTCCCCCTCTTCCCCAGAAAAGCTCGCTCAGAAATTAATGCTCTCTTTACCATCCATCATAAGGAAAATGTCAGTTTCACATATCCTTATTTCAGCTTCTACAGAAGACCAAACCCTAGAAATTTGTTTCTGCTGTGTTCATTTTCCTCTGCATTTGGGGGAAAAATAATCGGCAGCAATTGTAAAGTATGATTCCAGCTTATATAAATGTGAATAGAGCACACTCTTCTCTAGAGACAAAAAGCAGACAAGAAACATTATAGACAAACCTTTTTAAATACATTTCAACATTGTGAAAGAGGAGTCACAAAAATAAAGAAATTCAAAAGTGACCAATGAAAGCAGTAACATGGATTTGCCTGTTTGTGTTCCTCTGACCTAAAGATTACAGAAACATCTATTATTTTCTTTCCATTTGAATAAACAAGATGGAAGTGTGATACTTCATGATACAGTTCTGAAGCACAAAAGAAAAAAAGTGAATCAAGTGCTCTAGAAATATAAACCTCACGCATTTTTGTTGCTTTAAAAACTAGTGAATGATTTAAAAAAAATAACTTTTACGGGATCTAAAAACCAGTAAATGATAAGGGTAGTTATTTTTGCTTTAAAATAATTACCAGGCAAGATCTGTGGTCCTGACAGAGGTAATCTATCTGCAGAAGCCTGTAAGAGCTTTGAAGAAATCCTTCCTTGCTGTGACAGTAGGGTGTGACCTGTGCACTGAAGTTAACCAACTGAATGACCTGCAACTTCACACAATTACTGATTAGTAGGGCTTTTAAAACAATCTGACTTCTACACTACAAATTAGCGTAACTCCAATCAGTTCTTGACTGTTATGCACATATGTAATTAAACCATAGTGAAATAAATAGAATTGGCCATAAAAAGTAATTCCATATTACTAACACACCGTAACAGCCACTAAATCAGACCTGCGTTAAGCCCAGATGAACATCAAAGGGGTTTGGTGTGAATGAGGATTTACCTGAAAACCTGGCACTGCCCTCCCACTGGTGCAGTCCCATTTCTCAACAATAACCACAGCTGAACTGGTGCTGACCTGCTGTGGAAGCCTGAACCAAGTCACCAGGTAGCAGCCCTAAGAATACCAGCAGTCAGGGTTAGCCCACGAGGCCCAGCGTTCCACACTGGCTTTCTCACAGCTAATCCTAAGTTTTCAAACCAGCGCCAGCTCTTCTTTGCTCCTAACTGATGGCAGACACCTCTCTCATTTCAATAGCATTTGGCTCAAGCACCAGCTTGTTTGTGGCGTCCGTGTTTGTGATGCATAGATTTCCCTGGATAAGTTTGTGCCAAATGGGACTCCCATTGCGATTCAAAGGAGGGCCTAAATCTCTTCTGCAGAAGCAGAAGTTCCACTACCAGTTTTACTCAGTTCAAAAGAAACCTAAAAATGAGAAATCTGGTTTCTTACTATTTCACATAAAAACTGAACATAATTAGGGGAAAAGAATAAATAAAAAATGAAATGGATGCATGTCTACAGCTTGAGTTTTTCTAGGATAACATAGAAGCCTAAAATGCAATTGGATTTAATGGCCTAAACCTCCCCCCCACAATCAAAGGGTTACCACAGACTTCACTACAGCAGCTACTGCATAAAAAAGCCTTGTAAAAATTATAGTGGATTAAAAATGATGAGGGTTGGTTTGTTGTTGTTTTTTTCCAACTTGAAAGGAGAAATCTTAAATCGGTGACAAAGTGACAAGCATGTCATGAGGGATCTTACACTGCTGGATTATGTCACAGCCTGAGCCCAATTTTATTATAAAGACAATTTAAGAACGATATCTGAAAAAGACCATTATATTTGCTACCAGTGCTACCATCTGATGCCGTAACTCAAGAAGTTAATCCTGGAATTTCTGCATGACATACGTATGCATCTAAATACATACAGAGTTTACAAAAAAATAGATATATTTGGCTCCGCTGCAATAGATTTTTCTTTGAAGAAAGGAATAAAGTTGAACAAAAATTAGTAAGAACATTAAAAAAAAAAAGAGATTAATATATTTACCTGGCAAAATGCATAGTGGGAGACTGTTGAGAAAAGTTCAAATAATGCAAATTTATGCAAAATACAAAGTCATCCACTCTATAACCCAACTTTCATAGACTAATCAAACCTATTTCAATCTTTAGTAAGCTGCCCCAAATTTCATATATACTTGGTCATGCATATATACTACTGTGCTAGGTAATTATTATTTTTATGACTTTAAAAAAGCTAATTTTCAGCATTGAGAACTTCATCATTTTCATACAAGTAAAAACTACAGCATGATACAATTTTTCCCATATTAACTGCAACATGAATTTAAAAAAAATCCTTAATTAGGCTGGAACTTTCCATTATTATGTTTCAGTGGCAGAATGGCTACGATCTTGTGAATATTATTTTAAAGGAAGAAAATTATCACCTGAACACTGACTCAGCAGTATTATAGAGGTCTTCTGTTGCTGTTTTAAACACTTATAAATACTTCAGAGATATCAGAAAAGAAAAATACAGGATGACTGAATACTGAAATTATGGCATATACTGGTGTACAATGTATATGTATTTTCTATGCAGCAATTCATTATTGTTAAATTTTGCCCAATAATCCATTCCAAACAAATACAGGACATCCTTATTTTCCTTTCTGAGGCAGGCAGAATTAATGAATGATTTTTAAGAGAGTTGACAGATGGAAAGATACACACTTCATAAGCGGATTTATAAGGGTTTTTGTTTGATTTTTCTTTTCCAGAAGCCTGACAGCATCCATCTTGTATTGCTTTTTGTACCCTGTACTGGGAAAAAAAATATCTTGATTGCCTGTGGAAATGAGATTATTTTGTAAACGGAAACAAGACTGACATGAATAAAAGTAAGAAAGCACAATATAGAAAAAATGTCAGAGAATTTCTAAACATTTCTAAACAAATTTCAGAGAATATTCTAAACGTGATGATATTAACTGGTCTTCCTTTAAATTAGGAATTTCTTTATCTTTTAGCTGTGCAATTTAAGTGCATCTCAGAGTTAGAAGAAAGACACAATAAATGTTTAGCACATGAAACTATCAAGCTTTATAAGCAAAGTCAGGGAAATGTTTCAGATAACTTTACTTGCAAATTTCCAATTTAGAAGAGAATACAATTGACTATGCTTGCATGTCTGTTCAAATGGTTAGAATTCACATTCTAAAAACCACGTAATATTGGTGAGGAAACATAGGAAGCAGAAAAAGAGATACCTAACTAACTCATTTAACTTCTACTAGCATGTCATTTTTTTAAAAAAACCAATAAGCTTTTGGATTTTGGTTATATATACAAACATCACAAATGTTTGCTATAATATTTTACTTGAATTATACATTATAAATTACCATAGCAAATATTCTACTGTTGCCTATTTGACAGTGGCACAACTCATAGGTATTTACACTATCAGTCTTTTTTTCATTTTTTCTACTTTTAGCTTATCTGCAGTATACATGAGATGTTGATAGAATATTATCAACTGTCATCATTATCCTAAAACAAACAAACAGAACCATTTGTGTCCCTTGATTGCAGTACATTTACCACCTATCTCCACGTGTCTGATCTGTAGAATTCTCTCTTACATGCATTTTATTTGGTTAAGGATGATTCCCCAGGACACGAGATGAGATTCAGTATCATTTAATTTACAGAGAAAGTATTCTGCGGAGACTGGATTATGCACTGTGAGTAAAAAATAAAATTGGACATTAATAAAATAAGCATTAAAAACAAACTAATAATCTGATCTCATCTAGCTGTGCAGAATTACAATATTTTGTTGTGCACTTAAGAGTTTGTTTTGACTGACCTTTACAAATAAATACTTTTTCTCTACGTAATCTATAGGATATTCTGTGATAAAGTACACATTTCTGTTGTGCTACAAATAATATTTATCCATGGTAGGTTACAAATCCAATACCTTTTACTAATTAAAATTCATCCCCAAAAGGTTTTCCAGGAAGTGACAGAAAAAAGATAGAGGAAATGAAATTTTTATGCATGCTTAAAAAATGTTCAACAAAAACTGCACAAGAATCTTCATCTGGTATCAAAATTATTTTGATTGCATTAAGCATAACAAAAGTTGGGTTTCATACAAAGGATTGGTCTGAAAAGAAAGGCTAGAATTTCACAGCAAACCTGTCTTAGCAGAAAGAACTAGTCAGAGCAAATAACTTTTCTATCCCCAGAGTCTGTCACGTTAGATAAGTGTCCTAAATATGCTTTTCAGCCCACATTCTGAAATGCTGATGGATGATACATATGTAAGGCAAACCAGAAAGTCACTGGAAAATGAGTGAAGAGTCTTCAATATGCATGATACAGTAACCATCCCAAGTCAACATACTGTACATCAAATGCAGATTTGAAGAAGTCCAAAAGAGATGAAAAACGTGGCCAACATTATGAACAGAATGCCAAAAATTCTGATTGAGGTCTTGAAACCCAGCTGAGCAACTGGCAGGTTTTCAACATCTGGGATGCAAGATTGTAGCAGATGGGAAGCAGGGGAGTGAATTGAAAGTAAAACCAGAGAAAGGCTGTATTTTCTGAAGAGGGAAAGAATAGCTATATATTTATACATCATGATAACAGAACTGCACCTCAGAGTTATTATTTAAGCTGGTGCTTAAAGAGCACAGGGAGCCCAAACTATATCTCATAGCTTGAATTTCCACAACTACACTGAATCAAAAATTTGGATTTAGAGTTATCTCTTGGAGATACGTACAAGAATATAAGAAAAATGTAGAACCATTGAAGGAGAAAATCATAAAGCACAAGCAAGATTTTGAGAAATAGCAAGAATCAGATGTAGCAAGGTATATATTATACCAGTTATATCAGATGTACAAAACAGACCTAGCAATTTTACCTCATGGGGAAAAATAATACAACAGCAAGGAAACAAACAAGCTTGAGAGCACAGAGCTCCTTTTTCTGGCTGCCACAAGAAGGTAGGTTGGGAGAGGCAAGTGACTGCTGCCAGTATCCTACCACAGGAGTTTGGCAGGATGGCTACATAGAATTTATTTTATTTTTTGAACATCACCAGTTTTCTGAAGTAAAACTTGACCTCATTACCAAAGACTGACATGTGTTTTACACACACACACACACACACACACACACACACACACACAAATATATATATTTAATTTAAACAGTTTTTACTGAAGTATTTTCCATCAGAGTACTTCTCAGGTGGATGAATAATTCTTAAGTGAAAGGAAGGCCTGGCCAGTAAGGAAATTAGTTTGCTTTCAGTAGACAGTAAAAATGATTATTCTAAGAAAAGATCTATATAAGATGGTGAAAAAAATAATCTCAATACATATTAGATTCACATTCACTGACAGCTAAAATCAACGTGTGGAGTGTTACATACAAACTGAAAGAAGTGTTTAACCAGAAAAAAAACAACCTTCCCAGCCAAACACTCATACCCATGAATTTTAAAAGCATGCAGTAGATTCTACCAAGACGAATGAAGGGCTTTGAAAACCTGAGGGGAAGAAACGTTTAAGCTCAGCAACAGCAACCAGTGAGGACGCACCTTCTTGCAAAGGTCATCAGGCTGATTTTACCCAGACTGTCTGGAAGGTGTTCAGTCAGGAAAGATTTGTGCCAGATAAGATTCATACTTGTTCCTCTTTGTTAATAAAAAACGTTCACAACCTATCTTCACTAAAGCTCTTACGAATGACAGTTACTTAGGTTTCTGTTTGAGTTGCATTTTTCAACGTACACTAGTAGTGATCTGGTTTTACATAAATACAAAGGGTGAAACTGTACACAAAATAAAGTACAAAAGTGGCTGACATTGTTTCCTTACATTTGTTCAACAATTGGTTACTCAGAACTTGACAGGCTGGCATCTACCACCATTAACGAAACTCACTTCGGTTGAGAAGGATCAGAGGAAAGGTACTGAACTCAATTTTTGTTCCTTTTAAAGAGCCCTTTCAAGCTGGGGAAAGTTCATACATTGTCACCTCAGAGCACGATGCGATACAGGCAGCAGCTTTGAGCTGGCTACGGTGTGCAAAGTTCATTGTCACAACTGGCTGACTGCTCAACTGTCAGGGAAAACATAATAAAGACAAAAACGGGAACATGTGGCAGTTTTAGAAACACTTTCTCAATAAAGCATACTGTGAACTATAGACTATTGCACATTTCAACATGACACAAGAAAAATGGAGGGGCAAAAGAGAATACACTTTGTAACATAGAAATATACAGACTAGCTCGCGCACAGAAATCAAAACATGGTTACAAGACACCACCGCAGTCAAACCTGTCTTATAGTCTGCTTATGATCTTAGTGACCTTAAGAAACTGGTCCAAACTGATTATCAGCAATACCTTTTTTTGTTTTTTTTTAAAAAAATATTTTGAGACCACATTTTTGATACACATATATATATTCCGTGGTCAAAACAGACAGACTTAACTTTAGCGATACTAAATAAAAGTGCAAAAATGTTCAAAAAATAAATCAAAATAAAAAAATATGGAAGCATAAGCTAAAAATTTTCTGCATAGCTGAAATCTATTTAAAGCGAGTCCTTGATAGGGGTTGCTGACAGGAGGAGAAAGCAGTTTTTTAAAATGTCTTCTGTATGTTTGTTTCAAATAATGGAAAAAAAGAAAAGAACAGAAAAGAAAAAAGTCACTTGTCGGCTTTTAAAGTATTTCACAGGCAGTTCACTCCTGCGTCCTTAGATACCATTGTGGTGGCAGTGCCTCCTTCTGCAAGGTAAACAGCAGTGCTGGATTTGGAGTGCACTGCCCGGTCACCGCCGTTGTTGTTGACCTCGCAGTGCAGCGGCTCAGTGGAGATGACCCACGTGGAAGGACGCCATCGCTTCAGCGAGTAAGGAGTTTTCACACGTTTCTTGATCTTTTCTCCTGAGCCCGATTTGCTGTCCTGTGAGGAGTCACCTACTGAACAACAATAACAAAAAGTAGAAAAATAGTATTACAGGAAAGAATAGACTGGAGAATCCAGGGCTGTTACTCATGCAGAACAGAAGAAAAAGCAGAAAATCCTACTAAGTTAAGCAGCTGTATGGCAGAGACATGGCAGCGGATAGTGCTGTCACTAAAACAAGGGGGCAGATTCTGTTCTCTGTCAGAAATTACTTCAGTGAAGTAATTTGTGTTACCTTGAATGCACATTGGCATCAAACAGCAGAATCAGCATTTGATATTTGAGGGGCTTTTGCAATCATAGTATCTTACATTACCTGTAATGGAAGGTACAAAGAAAAAAAATGTAGCTAATACAGGACACCAAAGGCTAAACATTTAATAGCACAATTAAATCGCAGATCTCTTAATCCTGCTTGGCCTCGCAAAGCAGTTCTTTACATACAAAACCCCAGGCAGAGCTCAGGCCTTTGCCAGGAGGCTAACAGTCCATTTTCTCTATTAGGATCCTGAATCAGGATTTGGGATGTTGCACTGCAAAACTGGAAAAAACGCTTGTCAACTTCAAACACGATAAAAATTCAGCAGTAGAAATCTGATCTTAACCTTCAAATATTTTATTTTCTTCTTAACTTTCGATTAAAGAAAGTTACTCTGATCTTTTTTTTTTTTTCAATAAATTCAATAAAATTTCAACTCCTGTTAATGAGTAAAGACAAAAAATAAGGTTCCCTACTTAAAAGGAAAGCTTAAACATTCAATTGCTGAATACTCAACTACATTTCTTGAAAGATCTGTTCTAGCTCATTTATAAACTTTTTCTTTCCATGCATGCAACACCTGGCACCCCAGGTTAATTTGTTAGTATGACAGGTTCTACCTAAACATAGTCAGAAGTTTGCAAGTATCTTTTGATGATGACAGTGTATTCTGGAGCACATTATCTAGGAAGTCTCTCCAATAGCCCATGGACTCCAAAGAAACATTTTATGTACTCAACTATAACTGCATTCTTACTGAGGAGATTCTCATGTAACCTCTTACATTTTTAGGCTTAAAAATCTAAGTTTTTCTGAGGAAGTCTACTAAAATTCATTCTCTAACTACTTTGGTTATTTTTTAATATGTAAGTGGTAAACTGACAAAGGATTGCTTTATCTGCTGAAGCTCAGAGAGCAAGCTAGAGAATGCCTGACGGCCCATCTAGGCTGGACTAATACAGCAATATCAGTTGCTTTAAAAGTTACGAAGACATATCGTAAGTGTATAATAAAAATAATTTGAACCAATGCATCTTAGAGCCAGTTACTCTTATGAATGATGAAAAATATGGAAAAGAAGACACAGTGTGTCCCTGAAGAAAGAAACAGGAGACATTTCAATAACCTTTGCCACTGCCTCACAACAAATAACAAGAGTAGAAATTGCTCCCTTCCCTGAATCGAAGTAGACAGAATAGAAAGGGACAGATTTTTTCCATGTATGTGGAAAGCAGATAGTGACCTTTTGGACATTATGGAGCTGATGAGAACAGAACGCAGGGCTTTATTGAGAAGACTGAAATAGTTCTGATAGAAATTGAATGTATATGAGATTAGTAGGCATACTTTGAGGAGTGAAAGGGGACACAGGAGTATTTTCAAGCAGATATACGTAGTTATTCAGCAAAAAAACGCATCAGAGAAACTTGTTCAAGTTCTGCTGGCACTTACACTGCATACTACTGCTATCCAAACTATTTGTGGCAGATAGATCCAGCGAATTAGGCCTCTGTGCTCTTCTAGTCTGAGTCTGCCCAGGATTTCTGGCTACATTCTGGATAGTGAGTGTAGCTGTGTCTTGCACTGGACACGGATTACTGTTATTGTTATTAACATTTGTTCGGCCATTATCAAGTTGTCGCTCTCTCCTGTCTACTAGGCGGTCCAGAACACCTTCATCATGGCCAACCTGCTGCTCCCGCCTCAACAAGGGCTCATGCTCATCAGGGCTTGAATTAATATTCAGACGACTATCCTCTCCACTGAACTGGTTCTGAAGCATTTCCTGGGCCCTCTGTGCTACTGAACTGGCTGTCTGGCCAGACGGCACTGCCCCATTGGCATACTGGGTCGTGCCAGTATGAGAGTTTATGCCGTGGGTTCTACCAGCCACTCCATTCATGGTAACGGTCACCACATGAGGTTCTGCGGCATTGATAGTGTTCATCTTGGCAACGCCTGTTTCAACTTGCTTCAAGTTTGATTTGTGCTTGCCACCAAATTTTAACCGTGGCTCCTTTGTTGAATTTTTGGTGTTTAGAGGGAGGCTAGTAGGCCTCTTCGGAAGGTTCTGCTGCTTGGGTAAAGGATAGACCTGAGCAGATGGGACATCTGGAATCAAACATGCTTGACCATTGCTAGCTTGCGTGAAATCCTGTTGTCCTGTCACCTCTACTGCAAGTTTTATCAGTGGATAAAGCAAGCTGGAACTAGTGCTGCTGAGTGGATCTGGCCCACTAAACTGCTTGAGTGAATGTTCCATCAGATTCTCATCAGAACTTTCTTTCAGGTTCTTATCTACTTCTTTTGGATCCAGTTTATTTGTCTCTAGATCCTCCTCTGTTAGCTGCAGACAAACTGGCGTGGGCCCACCTGGCTGCATGACGTTTGTAGTATGTACGTTTGTTTCATCTGAATAAGGTATTTCAGATATGGTGGTCATGCCAGTGCTAGGAGTGAGGCCAGTTGTATTGGTGGTAGTAGTATTGGTGGACAAACTGGTGACACTTGTCTCAGGACTAGGGATGCGAGCTTGTGCTTGTTGCCGCTCATAATTAATGGAGTTTCTATTCTTTTCCCCTGAAGTCAGAGGTGTAGTGGACATTGAATGTTCAGACGAAATGTTCTTCACTATGCTGTCAGTGTGGTGGATTGAATCTTCAATGTAGGAAGAAGAGGAGTAATCTGGATATGGCCTTATTTTTGACACTCGTCTATGATGTGACAGGTTCCTTTAAGAAAAAAATCAGTGATATTAAGATCATATAAGTAAATATTGCTGTATATCATAAAGCCTCTAATTTAAAAGAGCTGAATGTCTATTCCTTTTCATGCATAAACTAAGGACAGATACAATAAAAAAAACTGAGATCCTCTTTGAAAAATCCTGGGAAACAGAACATCATTTTACTAGGACAGCATTTTTGTCACAAACATTATTTATACAAGTATATCACGCAACAGTAATTTTCTTCTATTTGTCCAATACTTGTATTTGTGCAGTTCACTGATAAGATACTGCTGTAGTGGCAAATGATGCTGAAGAAGGCAAACAAGAACTATACTCAAGAGCATAGGATGCAGAAAAGGATGCTAGGAAAGAGTCACAAGCTCCTAAGCCATGAAAAATATATAATAATGTTAACAATTTATGTGTTCCATGCTTGAAACGGAAATTTTTCATGACAATGTGCCAATGCTACCCTGCTTTCAAATCCAGATCTCTGGTGTGTATTATTTTAGCACTAATGTCAGTTCTGCAAATTCTCACTCTTGCATCATTTATAATCAGAAAAGGGATGTGCCCATCACCCCTCTCACTGGACCAAAATAACAATGACTTTAACAAGGGCTCTGTAGTTCTTAAACTGAACAGCTATAAATTCGAGTCCTGGTGAGTTCCTGAACTCTTACTGCCTGAACTCATAGCTTATAGCAGAACATTTTAAACAGAAGTTCAACACATCACTTAGAAAAGAGTCTTTAAACACAATTGATAGTCACTTCATATCTTTTTAAACTTGTTTGGATAGTTTGTCTAAACTCAGCTTAACAGGCCTCACTGTGATAAAAACAATTGTTCACATACAAGGAGCCTGAATCCAGTGCCATAAAAATGCTTATTTTGTGGACTCATGCAACACAAAACAATCAGGATCTTACACAGAATCCATATGCAGACTAGCTCCCAAAACACATTTAAACATTACGCAGAAACATTAAGTGAATAGTGTGCTCTAGCTTCCTTCCTGGAGTGAGCTAAGCATTGGACATTCATTGCCAACTAAAATCAAGTTTTTCTCTTCTTACCGCTCATTTTGCATGGCAGTTGACATTGGATTGACTGTTGGACTAACTGATTTATTTCTCTCCCAAATCATCATGAGTTCTGCCATTCTCTCCTCAGCACATTGGGCAGTTAATCGAGCTTCAGCATCTTGATCCCAACAGTCTTCGATTGTTTCTTTAAGTGACCTCACAGCCTGCCGGGAGACAGACAAAAACACATTTTCTTAAATTATTTTCCCTTTATACTGTGCTTCTAAATTACTGTTCTATGACAGCATTCTGCATAGATGAAAAAAGAAAGACACACAACACAATTTCTCTCAATGCTACTTTATGCTACTAACAATAGTGGTACAGGACTAGTATTATCATAACTCATATGCACAAACTGAAAAAATAATTATTTAGGAAAAATTAGAGTTGTTCATGCAACCTTCTGCCTGCCATTGCTGATGTACATATGCTCATTCTCCCTGCTTTATGAAAGTCCTGTACGAAGGATTGACGGTGGCTCTGGAAACCCTGTCACTGGCATCCTCCCAATTCAGCTAATGGTCCCTGCTTTGCCGCCCTGCACTGTATGCAATTGACACAGCCTTGCCCAGTTCATCAAGCTTTTCATTTTCTGTCAACTAATGTAACATTAAATACCTCATAAATATCAGTGAATTTGTCTGCACTATGAGAGGAGGTTATTGCTGCCCTTGTTTAACAGACGGAGAAATGGAAACAGACACACTTTCCTGGGATCACACTATGGGGTGAATGGGGCAGTCAGGATTAGAGTTCAAGACTATCAAATCATGCTGCCATATGGTCAAAGACCTGGAGAGTAGACAACTGAAATTATGAGCACTGAACATTTGTACTTCTACAGATACTGAGCACAGAAAACAGGCAGACGTTTATGGGCCCCTGCTGCCTGTTGACGGGCCACCGTTTGCCAGGATGTCTCACATCTCAGCTCAGCTTTAATCTCTCCTGCACCAATGACTGTGAACAGTCCCAGCTGGGCACTGAGGCATTCAGTGGGGCCTGCTGATTGTTTTTGTGCCAGAACTGCCTTGTTAGCTTCTGGCAGGAAAAGCCAGGAGTGGCTCTGCCTGCTAGTGAAGAGCTCCTCGCCCACAGAGCAGGCTTCTGGCATCACTTGCATCTGGCAAGTCACTGCTGCTCAGTGATGCAGCTATGGCTGCACAGGTGGGGATGAGCTCCCACACAAGGAAATCTTCTAACTCCCTTCCCACAATCAATCAGAGAGGCTAAGCAGTTAAATCACTTGCAGCTGAGGGATGCAAGTTTGAAAACACCATCAGGGACAATGCCAGGATAGAATAGGGGATATGTTTTCTCTACCAAAATAAAAGGCTTCAATCAGTTTTTAGTATTTCAGTTAGTTGCCATCTAGTTGCATCTTTAAGTTAGTGGACACCCTAATCTCATTTCTTGCCCCTATCTAAAGCTCTGCCCTACAGGTTTCACCAGCTGTAAATGTAATCATTATTAAATTTACTAGACTCTCGTCCAGCAAATCTTCTTCTTTTAATGTTTGAAGGATACTGAAAGGAACAGTGATGACAGATAGTTAATGCAGACAACACAGTACAGATAGTGACCAAGACTGAAGTTCTAAAGCTTCACATTTATCATAGTAATGTATTTTCTATCAATTTCAGATTCAAAGAGATCTACTTTAAAATTCATGATTGAGAAATCCTACAATTCATAAAAAAGATGAAAGACAGAAAAAAGATGAAAGATAGCAAGTTGCATTATTCTTATTCTACTGATATATTTCCATTACAACATTTGAAATCAAGTGTAGTCCCTGGTTTGGGGTTGGCAAGTAAAACAGAAATGCTGGTAACATCCCAACTCACTTTATAGCCCTAGATTATCTTATGCACATCATGTGCTCAAATTGTTGATTCATACCGTGTAAAACAATACCACTAGTCAAGGTCTGTATCATAACGAGTGTTCAAGAAGCAGACTGAGACTGCATATGTAATCATAAAATGGGGATTTCACATCTTTAGAATGCCCTAATTATGTGACCTAAACAATTTTATTTGTATCTCTAAAAGGAAAAGAGTATATACATTTCTCTAATAGATCAATACGCATGGAAGTGTTTTAATCTAACATGTCAACACAGCTTTAAATACTGGAGAGAAGCCTTTTATCTCCATGTGTACCTTACATCTTATGTGTAAGGAGGTAAGGCCCTGGGTCCAGGGTGAGATTATTTTTTTAAGACATCTCTTCTACAGTGCTTACTGAGATATTATCCTAGACTAGCATTGGGTGGAGCTTGTTTTTTAATACCTATTAGAGAACTGCAGGTTACTGTTTTTTATTTCTTCTCTTGTAAAGTGATGATATACATCCATCCTTAAAGCTGAACATTTTATCATTATTTTGGGTTAGTAAAAAAATGTTAGTAACACCACAAAGAATGTGTTAAACAGTTTAAATACAGGGATCATAATACTAGGTCAGTATCTACTAATATTGGAATCTATCAATTTATAAGAACACAATTGGCATTTAAAATGGTAGCCTGCAAAACAAAACAAACCTTAAAATGCTTGTTTCAACTGTCTTCAAAAATAGCTATTAAGCTCAGGTTCTTCCAACACCACATTTGCCAACATGGCTGTAGTTAAAACAGTTGCTGCTTGATTTGCTGTACAGTTTGGGTGTGGATTTTTACTTTTTAGCTTTTGTTAAGACTGGCCCAAACTGTGCAGTAAGAGAAGCTCTCTATGAAACTCCCAACTCAGTTGCAACATGTTTTAAAGCACTGTAATACCAGAGGCTATGCTCCTCTCTGAAAATGGTTTCATACATATTTACGAGTACCAGCAGAGATGAGGCCTTAGGCTCCCCATTATCTGCACAGTAGCTACATACTTATCAACTAGCAAAGTCTCTGAAGATTAAAAGGCTTAATTTCACAGAAAGTGAATTCCTAAAAACTATCTTTTTAGATGAGTCAAATATGTCAACTTCCCTGCTTTCTTAAATAAGCCATCATGCTATCAGATAGAACCCAGAAACTGTTGACATTTCACTTTGCTTGTAATATAAGAAACAACCTTCACTATGCTAAGGGGAGTCATAATTACCTCACCTTTGCTGCAGATGAAAGCAAGCACACAGAGTCTTACCAGAGTTCAGCTGACTTGCAGTAACTTGTCAGCCTGCAGCAGCAAGCAAGGTTCTAAGCTGTAGCAATACTAATTCAAAACAACAAACAGAATTATTCTGCTGTTACTTTTGCAAATAAAAACTGTAGATCAAATGAAGCCACATAAATTTTTGAATGTAGTTATAATTGCTATAAACTGTAGCCACTACAAATTCTGAAGACTATACTTCTGAAGTATATGCTTATGAAAGCTTATGAAATGTCAGTATTGGAGGATTACAATTTGCCTATTAAGTGTGCTACTAGTCTGTAAGATTTAAAAGGCATAAAATGTTTCTCATCCAGCATCCAGAGGAAATGTGGGCACTTGATGCAAGTACAAAGATTGCTTTTAAGAAATGATACCACCGTATAGCCAGCTCGTTTGTTTCTTAGTACACAGTACTTAGTAGTATCTCACCAGGCTGTTCTCTTTCCATGCTTCTGGGAATTTTGGTCTTTGCTTTTCCCTGGACACCAAGACTTGCATATCTTCAAAAGTGGGATGGTTTCCGACTTCTGTCTGGAAAGCCATCTGGTACTCTGGCACAGATTCCCCTGTTAGCACAAGAAAGAATGAAGAAAGTCACAGATTTGGGGGGAGGAAAAAAAAAAAAAAAAAGGCAGGGCAAGGGCTTTCAAGTGATGAAAGGTAGCATCAAAGTCGTTGCCTATCAAGATATTCTGACTCCACCCCTCAAACCCACACTCTTCCGCTTCCCTCCCTCTCCCCAGAAACACTGAATTAACCACAAATGAATTAAGTCTTGTTTGAAAACCTCTCAAAACATTTTCAAATTTTACTGACTGAGGGGCACCTTCAGAATGTCCTGGAGCCTGAGGATGACATCTAATGTCTGTGAAATGTCAACACTAAGCATACTTCAGGAGAAAATCCAAACAGACTACAAGCCACTGCATGTACTGTGCAGCTGTTTAACTACAGAGGGAATACTGCATGTCAGCTTAACTCTGTACGCTACAGCTCAGGAAGAAGATGGAGGTCACTATACTTTTTTTGCTTGTTAACAGTTTATTTCCTCAAGTTATCTGAATTTTTCATGTCACTATCATAAATAAAAGTATGAATGGCTAAACACCTCATTAAATTACAGCACTTTTCCATCCACTTGTTCATGAGGAAGGTCTGAAAGATATTTTGGGCACTATCTCATCAAGTCTAAGCACTGAAAGTAGTGCCTTTGCCACCAACCCAACTACCAGTGATCGTGAGCTCTGGACAATAACAGCAGTGCTCAAACAGCACTGCCATGTGGCCTACAAAATGCTTTAACAGGCAATCTGAAGTCTGCCAGCATGATCCTCGCAGCCCCACTAACACAGCGTATTGTTAACAATAACCATCTCAAACGCTAGATGGCACCAGCTTAACAGCAAAAAACTAATGCTAAATTACTTCCCTTCTTCACTTTAAAAAGCCTTGACTAGGGACTAACATTTCCTCTATTTTTGTTTCTTCTAGTTCCTTTAGTTACCTGGGAAGAGGTCTGTACATCGCATAAATATCTCCCAGTAGATGAGGCCTAGTGCATACATATCTACTTGTTTCAAAGCAGATTCACAGTCCCTTAAGTTCACTGCTCCTTCTAGCACTTCTGGGGCCATGTAGCGGATCGTACCGACCTGGAAAGTCAAAATCAAAGCTTTAAATCAAGAAGTAATTTCCAAATTCAATTTTATTATAAAGGTTTCGAGTTCTTCAGCAATTTCTTTTTGGTGCATACATGGTGTGGTTTTGTTGTCGTCGTTGGTTTTTTGTTTGTTTGTTTGTTTTTTTGTCTTGTTTTTAATTTACTTCAATGTTTTCTAGAAGTTGAGATAGAAATTTCTCTTCTAATCAGTGCCCTCAGCTGCTACTCTTACTGGTGGTCTAGTCTTACTAAAACATATGTTAGATTAGAGCAGTTATTCATCAGTCCTTATGTGACAGTATTTTGTCAAAGGACTATTGCACATGCCTGTATTTTAAATGGTGGTTTCCCCATTCCTTTGTTCAGCAAGAGGGCATCTAAAAAAAGCATTTGTGCACAAGGATGCTGATCAGCACTGTGAAACATTCTGTGAATGAAATGCAAAGACTGTAAAAGCACAGATGACAATTATCCTAAGGCAGTAGTGGGCTTTCAGTCTTCGTTTAAACTGTTTTTTGAGCAGCCTATATTCAGATGTCTGTACATTTACACTTATTAAAAAAATAAGAAAAAGCGAACATTTTCCAAATCATTGCATCATCGAAAACAAAGCTTAAGAACTCAGTTTCCTCTTCCTGCCCAGAAACCATTCTAATCCATTCCTAGCAGATGTTCTTCCACTGTGTTCCTTAAAATCACAGGATGCAAATTCTATAATCTTCCCTGGTAGTCCCTGAATTCTGCAGATTCAAAAGATTTCTTCACAACTAACCTAAACTTTCCCACCTACAAAATAATCCCATTACCTTTCTTCCTATCAAAGCTGAATGCAAACAGTTTGTTCCTTTCTCTTTGTAGCACTTGTTTACATATTTGAAGACTTGCTTCCATCTTTACTTCACTAGACTAAACAACTTTAATTATTTCAATCTCTTCTCATAGGTTACTCTTTCAAGCTTCCCTCATTATTCATTCTCAATTGTTCCATGCCTTTCTACACACGTTTATTTTCCCTGTCGTAACTATTTAAAATCCACCAAATTACAGATGACACCCAGAGAAATAAGTGGTTGTAGGACATGGAAGGGGAGGGAAAAAAAAAAAAAAAAAAAAGAAAAATTTAACTACCTCAGCTTCCAAAGACTGTTTGGGCTTAAGTAATGTTTGCAGTAGAAGACTCATGGGGCTTGCACCCACATCTTTGTAACCTCTGCAACCATACACACCTTGCATACATCATCTCCCACATACAAAGCTTCCACCTCTAAGGCTGCTTCTCTACTGCAGCAATTCCCCATCAAAAGAATTGTACCACCGTAACATTCATCTTAAAACAACTATTTCTCAATGTTATTCCCATACTGATTTTTCATCCTTTACATGCTGGCTTATCTTTATTCGTACTTACCTCACTAATGGCTGCATTATCTTCCTCACCTGGGCGCACCAGCCTGTTTCCAGTTAACTTCATGGAGAGCCCAAAATCGCTAATTACACATGTTCCATCATTCTTTACCAGTACATTGCGGCTGTTCAAGTCACGATGGGATATTGCAGGTTTGTAATGGTCTATTTGGACATACGAAAGTGCTTGTTATTATTTGAGCAGTTCTACTGTTTGACAAAATGAGAGAACCTCATTAAGTCTGCTCACCTATTATAAACAGAAAACCAACTTACCTTGTAGAAAGCTAGTATATTTGCTTCTTTATAAGGAGCTCTGCAGTATGCTATCTACAGAAAACTGACTGTCACTCATAGCTTCACTGCCTTTAAACATTATACTGGGTTACCATTACATACAGCTTCAGTGTTTGCCAGTAAGCTTCTTTCCAAAGGATATTGCAGCATGATTTTGGCAGGGAAGACATTATGTACTTAAGCACAGACCAACTGCCACAGCCCTGACAGCTATTCCAAACGTTCTTTCTCATATGCACAGTCCCCTGTTAAGTTCAATATCAGCTACTGAAATTATAATTGGGATTGGCACCAATTCAGAAGATATGTAGACAATATCACTCCAGAAAATCTGTACATGTTATTCCTGCAAGGGATTTGATCTTTCCCAAAGAGTAATCTCAGTTGTTCCTCACTTATATGCAATTTACCTAGTAAAACAACAAGCACTACAGAACCAGTTTAACTATGCAGTTTATTCTACTTCCGTGAGCTCATATAGTTCAGTCTATGGCTGTCTCTCCTTTATGATAGAGGGCTTACACATTTTCTGGCTGCTAATGCACACACTTGTCTGCACATTTCTAAGTGATGATGTTAAGATGATAGCTGCAGATTCAATCACATGTAGGAATACTGATTTAGGTATTTTCAGCCTCACACTTTTAACAGTATCATTGGTTTCCACTCTTAACATTTGAGATACATGGTTTAGGACTTTAATTTCAACATTAGCACCTTCATTTAGAATTAATACTGTCTTTTTTTTTTTTTTTTTTTTTTTTTTTTTGCCAAAAAGCTAATGCTTCAATGCCAGGCCACGTTCTGCAGCCTGTTACAGCACAGAATACCTGTTATATAATTGTGATACTTTACTGGCTGAAATGGTGGGCTGAAGCAAATGAGCAGAGATAAAATAGATACATCAACATGTTGTCAGATCCAGAGCTCTAATAAATCACTAAAAAATCCAGGGATCTCACCCTTCGACAAAAATCAAGAGATATGGATAAAACTACAGTGGAGTTAAGAAATGTAGTTATTTTTCACATACACAGTTCACACACAAACTAAAAATTGCTTTGCTGGTTTGTGTCGGAACTGCAGTAAACAAACAGAACACTCCATCTGCTCGCTCTCTATTAGACAGACACCAGTGCTTCAGGTCTCCAGTAATCTGTTGCCATGATACAGCAGCACTGCACAGCTCTGCCTCCTCCTCTTGTCTGTCTCTGGGACACTGCTGGCTCTTACTCCCTGTTTTCGTGCAAGCATCACTGGCGCAGCCCATGACAGGGAACTGCTCAAAAGGAAAAGCATATCAGAAGTTGTGAGGAATCTGTATTTGGATTAAACATTTCCTACTCACTGTACTGTCACAAATGAAAAATAAAGGCAGCAATCTTCTATCTGACAGAAATGGCAACATCTTGAACACTGGCATCCCTTCTTGGCCTTACCTCCTCGAGGTAGCTCTGTGTGCAGGTACGCCAAGCCCCTGGTTATAGAATGTGCCAGCCGGCAAGAGCTCACCCAGTCACTTGTGTGGAGACTCAGATATTTGCACAGTGAACCCTATCGAAAATGAAATAACAAATACTAGATTAAAATTATTACCAAGTAGCAAAATGAGCAATCAAGTCAAAATCTTGAAGAAAGATAGTTTTATCCCTTGCTCTTGAAAGTCATATTCCTGCAACTGCTTCTCTGTGTACCCAGACGTTATAAAACACAAGATCGGAGCAAAGTTTCATTAATTTTCAGTGGTGCCATTCAGTTTATGTAAGGAAACTGAAAAGGAAATGTAACATACATAATGATAAATATTGCCTTTATGAGTAAAGTATCACAAACAAAAGCAAAATACTGTTTTCTTTTATTCTTAAAAAATTGTTACTGAATAACAGAAGAAGGGTACCTGCAGCCATAACAGCTGGGATTACTAATTAGTGGACTTTGAACCTTTACAGAAGAACACTGAACATCTCTCACTGGCATCTCACCTGCTGTGATTAGTTCAGTCATTGAAACAAAAAAGCCCAAAGAAGGCTCAGAATAGGAGCGAGTCAACACACACTGAAGAAATGGGAAAAAGAATTTCATACTTTTTTTAAATAGAGAATTTAAACATGAATAAAATGCTGGTTCTTTTTTTTTTTCTTTTCTTTTTAAGAAATAATTATCTTTTGCAGTGATCTTAAAAACAAAGGAAGAGTGTCAACTATGACAGTGAAATATTCTAGAAACACAGACAAAATGACAAGAGGGACAGATCCACAACTATCATGTCTTTGTGCATTTTTATGCACAGTCCTCAGTAACAATATCCTTGGTTTAAACAAAGCAAATCCCCACACATAAAGAACAAGAGGTCCAGGCTTCTCTGCATACACATTATAACGGTTATTCATGACTATGTCTACCATCTTTTGCCTGTTTAAATTTTTAATCATAAAGATGCACTAACATGTAACGTCTTACTATCATAGCTGCAAATAAAAACACTTGATTGACATATCTGTTAAGTAACATTTGGTTAAAAAATAACTGCAGATATTTGCCATTTGAGTCCATTTGGAGTCAGTATTCAGTTAATACATGCACAGCTCAGATGGATGCACACAGATAGCCAACATTTAAAATGACCAAAGACTATTTTTTTAATTCAGTGCTAAAACTAAAAGCCAATTATTGACATTCCTTAATAAAATTACAGAAGTGTTGCAGCTTTTCAAATTTAGACTGTATGGAATAAGGAATCCATAAACAGACAACCTCCTTGGTAAAAACAGACCAAACATCACTATGCAACTTGTAAACTCCAATGAGAATTTTTTTTTTAAGCTGTTTAAAATACTGTCCTACAAACTTCCAATAGATTTTGGTAAAAACAATCTGAGAATTCATTTACAAGTGAGTTACAAAGCTGTAAACAATAAGAAAAATGCAAAATTATTTACAAGAAGGACTCCTACTAACTTCCTGTCAGCTGTACTACAGCAATAAATCCCAAATCCAAAACAAGAGGTTCACAAAAATTCCTGTCACTACGCCAGGCCTAAGTGTCAGGTGCAGTCCTCTCCACATGTGATGGAGTCCACATGTGATAAGGCAAAACTGTAAAATGCGAAATACACAACTGAAATGGTTTGCTTATCTATAGACTTAAATTTTATGAAGGTAAACTGCACAGTCCAATATGGAACACATATCTTATTCTGATATATAAATCTCCACTTTATCCCTAATGCCAGCCCATTCTAAAAAAGATAACAAGACTGTTGTTGTGGCCTAAGTGGGAAACACCATATAATGATCTCAGAGCTTTCTAACTACCACTTATTTTTAAGCTGGCTAAGAGCTGTGATTTTATGCTCTCAGTCAAGTTCAGTATAAATGACAACTAGGAAAAGTTTCAGTTAAGATTTTGAGAGGGAGATTTATACTTGAGCCAACACATATATCCCCCATTTTATTACTTGCTCCCATACATTCATCTGTCTGGTATTCAGATAATATAGTGATTTGGTGTAATTTAAACTGTCTTGCTTTCACCCAAGCAATGCCAAAAACAATTTTCTATGTTAAAATGTTCTGGTTTGTGTATTTCCACTTCCAAGAAGGAAATTTTCTTTCTCAGATGTTTTGGATGTGGAATATTTCAGCTGCACGTCTTGCATGGGTTACCTCTTACTGAAGCAAGTTTTATGACTACAGTTTGAATGGCACCATTCCCTTCTAGTAGCACTTCCACAGCAGGGTTCCTTCCCTGCTGTTAGCTCAGCACACAGCAGAACATCTGCTCACTGAATTAAGGATGGTACTGTGCATTAATTACACCTGCTGTGCACTTTTTCCAATGACTTCCAAATCACTAGTGGATTGATTTCAGGCTAATGTTGCTGTTTTCAACACCATATCGGGAAAGTATCCGATAATATGTTGTAAGCCTCATCTGTGCATTCAAGTAGATTGTTAACAGATCCTGTTTATAGAAGACACAAAACAATTTCCAATCAAATTACATGTCAACCAAATATCTTTCATTCAAGAAAACAGCAAAACCAGATCGCCTGTTAAGACGATTATGCTGTGCCCTCTCAGGAACAGAATTCTTTCTTGACTTCACTTAACTTCGTTGAAAGCAAGCCTGCTCTGTCACAGTAGGTCATACACGCGGTATAGACATGCTTGAGCTTTCCTGCAGTCACTTCTCATCTCTGCAATCTCTTCTTAGATTTTCAATCCTTATGAACTGACAGAATCAAGTGTGTTCTTACTTTAAGAGTTTCAGTCAGGACACTCTTTCTATGTTTGTGAAATGATATGTTGTCTCCTCAAATTTGCATATATATTTAGATATTTATATACATGCATGCATTTAACTTTCAACACAAACATATATAGAGTACCTGAAACATCTTAATAGAGAAGCATCATTACTTTTATTTATTGCTGTTCTATTTCTTTTTGCTACTTAATAAGCTGCTTTTGTCCTACTGTCCCCATAACAAATCAACCTGCAGTCATCACCTTTACACACTGGAATAACTACAATGCCTTTGTTTACTTGAGACCAAAAAGCTCACTGAAGTATGGTTTAATTGAACAGTTAAAGTCCTTTTCTATACAACAGGAAAACAATGCCTCATATGTTACATTTCATGATTTTTCATGATAAGCAGCTCACATTTTGTGTTGTACATTTTCAACATACTTTTGTTTTATGTACACATCCATGTATACACACACACACACAGTACTGAACTCAGAGCAATGAGTTTGAGGGATGTAGCACACAGCTCAGGAGAACTGAAGATATGGTTCTGCAAAGCAACACTGCTTTAAGACTTCTTCAGTATCAATGTACAGTATAACAAAACAAACAGGGTATGCCACAGGAAGCTTTAAAGAAAGTAGCTGTATAAAAACACCTCATGATTTATAGTGCCACAAACAGTAATACTGGATGCCTTATGTTTTCTTGTAGAAAACCCTTGCCATCTGCAGCTATAGAGTGACGTTGCAAGGACCTTGATGGAGGTGTAATGTTTTTAACATCAAGTAGTTTTACGTTTACTGATAATTTTTTTTAAGTAAAAACAATTCTTCAAATATTGCCCTTGATTATTCCACAGCTGATTTAAAAAAACTGCAATATAACCAAGAGCAAAATATTACAGCCAAGAGTTTGTAAGACTACATTTGGTAGCAGTAACTGGGCAACCTTAAAGGGTACTACAGGAAACCAAACCATACTATGGTTCATTAAAATTGTACCATTAAAAATTCATTAAAAATGATATGGATCATTTTTACATTACACCAGTCCAAGGTGACTACTGTGCAAGAATCATCAGAGGCTGAAGTACATCCTTTTTACGTGGTTATTCTTAGGAATCTAACCAAATCCAATTGATTTCTCTGAAGCACTTACATTGGGATAATACTCCATCACCAATAAATATTCCATACGCCCATCTGCAGTGAATCTCTCATCTCCCACAATGAAGCGGGCAATATTGTCGTGTTCCATCAGTGGAATCCTGTAAATATTCCTCTCATTGACAAAGTTCTGACGATTAGCAAAAGAAAATACTTTCACAGCAACGGGGCGTTCATCCAAGGAGCCTTTGTACACTGCTCCGTATCGTCCCCGGCCAATCAACTGCAAAAAAAACAGGAAATAATTAGTTCATTCATAAATAAGTAAAGGCAAAAACCAGAGTTCTCACTCAACAAAGATTATATACCAACTTTAATACTCAATTACACTGTGGGAAATAGCAAATATTTTGTACTGAAGACCGGAATTAGAACACTGTCATAAAACATTTTGAAGCTGGAAATCTTAGGATAAACCCATTTAGATCTATATTACTATATTGACCTATAGTCTGCATACCCATTAAATAAATTGTAAATAACCTATTCAGCCATTTTATATAGAACATTAATAAATCCAGCGCATTATGCTGATAATTCTCCAATTAAACCTTTGACTACTAAACATTTATAGCTTTTATGTGATCAATTCTAATTAACTCCAGCTATACATTTTACCTTTAGGATAGCTTTACAAGCTGTACATTTTAGGTTAATAATGCTCTACATGCATTTGCAGCGCAACACAGATTCCAAAGGAGATAAACAGGTTTTAATAGGAAGACATAATCAACTCTGTGCTACCTGTAAATCTTTATTCTAGCTCCCACAATGTTAGACTGCCTTTACAGAAAAGCCTTTTCCATCTCCATGGCAACTGAAGAAAGATGCAATCTCTGCTCTAAACCAGAGCACTGGACCACCTTCAAAAAGAGTTCTAGTTTGTAAAGCTCAAAACACTCTAACTACATAAGAATTTAAGTCTATTGCATTCAAATAGTTTACAGGTAGACATGAATGTGAAACTGTAAGGTTTTCATGGACAAGTATCTTTTCACTGTTAGAAACACATACATTATAATCTAATGATTCTAAAAATGATAATATTGTCTAGCAGAAAGTATCTTTTAACAGATAATACTTTCCATTTCTCAGTCCTCCAACGTCAGAGAGTCCTCATAGTGGACTGTAAAGTCAGTTCAAGGTACAAACACACAGTATGTTCACATCTCTACCAGAGATGTGGAAAAGCAAACACAGGTGAAGACAATTTGTTCTGTGACACCCTATGACTGAAAGTGAGATGTCAACTCCTTAATGTTTGAGAAAGAAGACAGAAGACCCTGCAGTAGATTTCTCCAACAAAGCTGATGCTTTTTCCAAGACTACCTATCAGTATGAGTATTTCATCTGAGGCTTTACACACTTTTACAATACGTGCCTTCGAACTCTAGTGAATTCTGCCTCCAATACTTTTTGTTGGCAGAGGGCACCCAAGTTTCTTTGCTGGTTAGCTTCCCCATTGCCCGGAGCACACTGCAGTGAGAATACCATGCCTGCAGCCAGCATCTCTGATTGTGATTTCTGACGGGCAACAGGAAGAAAAGTACCTCTCTCTATCTCTTTCACAGCCACTATACTGATTTTTCTAGCAAAAAGCTTTTACAAATTCTATACAAGTTCCACTAAGTATATCAATTGAAAGTATAATCTTTTTCAGGTTTCTGACGATGCATTGGCACTAAGCTCAGTGGAAGGTTCTAGTTAGCCCTAGTTGCCATGGAAATAGAGAGTGCTCCACTGTGATTAATGACAATACCTAAAAGCACTACAATGGAAATACACGGCCCTATCTGCAGTAAATTCTATACTCCAATAGGTGTTACTAAAGCATTTCAAGTGACTATTGTAGGATATTGTACTTAAAGTGACCAGAGTTGAGTAAAAGAAAAGGAGTTTGATGCAGTGCTGAAATGCAGCACATTTAAATTCTCTTCATCCCCATTAATCACTTTCCAGTGTTTAATATTTTCTTTTCAAGATAGAATGTGCTCTAGCTAATGCAATACTGCTAACAAAACCAGGCAAAATAAAACTGCTGTAACATTTTTTTTTTCTTACATTGGAAAAAAAAGAAGATTAAGAAACAGTTGAACATTTACCTCCAGTAACTTAAGATTGTCTAGGTCCAATGAGGGCTCTGATGCTGCTGCCTCCATCATGTTCATACTATGCAATCCTTGTTTACGGTCTCCTGTACAGAAAGGGATGGAAAGGAAATCAGACACTTTCTGATTTTGTGACATAACTGTAAGTGAAAATGCAAACTTGCCTTGAACTTGGCACTAACACATAATGTAGGTAAATAGAAGGGAATCCTCTAAATTCTTCTGAGTTAGTAAAATCAGCAGCGAAGGTGCTGACAGCTACAACCTTAAAGCAACCTGCTACAGACTGTTTTGATAATTAAATATCATTGGTAGCAGCTGTCAAACACGTTTACAACAACACTTATGTGCTGAGTAGAGGATATGTCGAGGAAAAGCAGGCCCCAAAATGCCAACTTGGAAAACGAATCATAAATCTCTCTGAACTGTTATGAAAGGAATATCACCAAAAAATGCTAGAGAGGATAAAGGGGAGCATTACATACAAACTTGTAAGAGAGACTAGGGAAGAAAACTAAACATAAGCATAATTTTGAGAAACAGTATTAACAGTAAGAACAACACTAAAAAAAACGGTCAGCCAACTCTACCTGCAAGCATTCTGTATCCAAAGAACAGAGCAGCAATCAAGACAGCTAGTACAGACACAGATGCAAGGGCAATAACTATCGTCTCATCCCGATGAAAAGAATGAGAAGAATCTGAAAGAAAACAAGATGAAGACTCTAATTGTAAATTTGAAAAAGTCACATTTGTAAAAACATGTTATTACAGTGAGGAAAAAAACCCAACATACACTTGATTATAAGACATTACACTAAACTCTTTTTCTTCTTAAAATCAAAGGATGACAGGGTAGCCGATCATCGCAAGCCCAGCTGATCTGTAGCTTTCCCTACTCCTTCAGTTCCATCAAAGGGCACCACAGAGAGGCACTGAAACCTGAAAGTGAATCTCCTTTCTATCTGCAAAAGCTCAGCACAGGCATCCAAGGTGAAACTAATGCACTCCTGCTCAGCTAACAATTTCTTAATCAAGTTTCCTGTTACAAATCAGGCTTACAAACTTAACCTTATTTTTTATTATTATTCCAACACTGGAATGAAAATCTCACTAAAAAAAAGTAAAATAAAAAGTTAATAATGTTGCAATGTGATGAATAATTAATCTTTTGTATTCAAACATCCCTATGTTCGTTAGATGCAAGATCTTTTGTGCTAGGGCTTCAAAGTTCTTTTGTTTTTTCTGATTTGTGTCAGTGCTCTGATCAGTTTTATCATGATTCTCACTATGTAAACCAAACTAGACAGATGTTTCCAAAAACAACAGCGGAACAGCGAACAACTTGAAACAACAGTAAAACACTGAAAACTAAATGACTGGTTTAATTTAGCCTTTTAAAAACTTTTTTTCTTAACAAAAATCAAATTTGGTTTAAATGCATCTCACTGCTTTCTGAGGAAGGGGGAAAGAGTTTTAATGTAAACATTTGTTATTGTCTTCAGTGGTTACCTTACTGCTTTTCCACATCAGATCCCAATCTTGTTTCTTTCAAGTATGTAAATATTCAGCCACTTTAGCAGAGAAATTTCTTACTGCAGATATTCCTCTGATGTCAGAATCACTGGAATGTGGCATTACAAGACCTCATTTACCTTGGCTTTAAAACCAAGTTTGCAAACTATGTTTAAACTTGTCTCGTATACTGCTAAAAGTACTCCTTAAAAGACTCAAAACAAGACCTAACTATTCTAAAACCACAAAACATATAATGCACACAAGGCTTAAACATTAGGTAAATTCTTAGGTGAGACTGAAATAAAATTTATCCCAGTCTACACTAACTGAATAAACAGACAAATTCACTGCTCAAACTGCATTTACAGTAAGTTAAACACAATTCATTTATTCCAGTTCCCAGCATGGATGAACACTAGAGAAAAAGATAAGAAAAGAAATCAAGTGTGAAAGACATCAGCTTCCATTTTTACAAAATTGTAGTGGTAAGCAGAACTACTAAAAAGTTGGTAAAACAAACAAAACAACATCAACAAAACAAGCAAACAAAAAAGCATTTGAGATGTGGTTATTTACCTGAAAAATTACCCCTCAAAAACAACATGCAGCACATATCAGAGAAAGCCTTCAAATGGTATTCATGACACTATCAAATTTCAAGTTGTTCTGACAAAAGAAATAACCACCACCAATGGTTTTGGTGAGAGTTTCACAGGGAAAATAAACTACTGCCACAGAGCATTGTGCTATGCCATCATAGTTGGGATTTCTATCATTTGGAGACTAAAAACCTGAGATTCCAGTTTTCACCTAGATTATGAATTCTAGCTATGTACCTATACACACCCAGCCACATAATATATGTTTAAAAAAATACAGCATAAAAGAACCTTACATGACACAAAGCAATATAAAATACTGTATAAGTGTATGAAAATGTATAACTGTCGGCAGGAAAGTTGTAATTTTGACTATTCTATTTTTTGAATAGAATATCTTAATGCTTTTTGCTTATCTAGAAAAATACAGACACCAACACACACATATACTTGCATATACATAATGTTGTTTGGTTTCTTTTATATCAGTCCAAGATGGTGCTAGATACCATCTTGATATTAAGAAAGTGCAGGTTTTGAGGGGCTGAGGTTCCTGCTGTAACCTCTGCTGTATTTCCTGGACCACAAAATCGGTGTGTAGTCATTTACAGACTTCCTACTGCCTATATAGTAGTCATGTCCACAACTGTTTCCCGAACGTTATCCAATACCCAAGTCTGATTGCTCCATTCTTGCCACTCTTACAATCCAAGGGCTGACAGCACAACCCTATCCACCATCCTGCTGCCTTCCTGCCTTCTGGAACAGGATTTTGCTGTTCCTCCACTCCTAGCATGGGCCAGAGAAGGCTATTCTGAGCTGCACCAACTACTTAGAGAGTCTGGCAGCATTTCTGCACTGGCTTTCTCTCATTAGAAGCATGTGAGTAAATGTATTATGGGGCCTGGCAGCAACAAAAAGTCCCAAGTAACAGTTTTGTGGAGATCAGTAGTAGAAAAACATGTTGAGAAAAATGATCACAGCATTCTTGGTCCTTGATGGACCATTCCCTCTGGAAACTTTTTATCTTCAGTGGTATCTCTGCATTTGCCAAATAACTGTAAAGAACTTTCCTGCAGCTCAACAGGAAAATAAACTTTCTTTTTTTTTTTTTTTTTTTTAAGCAGAGTTGTTTCTTAACAAAACACAAAACTGGCTTATACTGAACCAGTTTTTACTTCTTATAAACACTTTAAAACAACGTTGTCAACTATTCATGTAGTCATAGTCAGTCCTACAGTAGGAATTACTACTGCCGGGCTGTCAAGCACCTTTTACAAATTTAAGGATAATTTCCTGAATGATGGTAACCAAACATTTCAACAGATTAGTAATATGCAGTTCAACTTAATACGGGTGGGGAAAACACTGCTTTGAACATGCATAACTGCTGCTCAATAATCAGATTCGATCTTTTGGGATCATCATCGATATTTGGGTATTTCTTCAGTGATAAATGGAAGGACATGCATCAACTTTTTTGTCACTATCTTCAAATTTCAGACCAAGAATATTGATATCCCAATATTATTCCCAAACCATTGTATTGCTTAAAAAAATGACAGTCCAAGTTTATAGGATGACACACTGAGAGGATGAACTGCAGTCTGTAGGAAATGTAATGATTGCAGAGTTGACTACGGAGCACAAGTCTACCCGCACTTGTACACAAAACATCAGCAAAACTCCCTCAAGTGCTTCTTCATTGTGAAATTTTTGTTTCTACTGAGCATTCTTTATAGAGAATGAAAAAAATTCCTATTTCAGCTTCCAATCTAAAACAGAACTGCTTGAAACAAGAATAAGTCACCAAAAGCTGCGGTAAGGCCCAAGACACCAGAGCCAACCTGTTTGGGTGGGAAAGGGAGAACAGGGCGACTTCAAGCAGCAGCTTAAAGAAACGAAGTGTGACCAATGCCTGTGCTACTTAGAAGGCATCCAGCTCTTCTGTCTTGAAAAAATTCTACCTGTAACTCCGATGTAATATTTTCTGAAGTGCACCAATTACATCATGAAGAAATATCATGACAAATAGTATCAGCAGCCTTCAAAAAAATAAAAAATAAAAAAGGAGCAGCACAAGTGATTAAAATAGAGATGCCCTCCTCCTGGCTGGGGAGCAGCTGGTAACCCGCAGAGCGCTGCTCCCAGCAGTGCGCCGACCCTGCCAGCAGCACAGAGCTTGTTTCTGTGTTCCAAACCCCAAATACAACAGACCCTGTGTAGGGAGAGAATTTCGTCAAAGGCACTCACCAATAAGGCATTTCAGAGCAACGCTTCCAGTGCTTGGTCAGAAACGAGTTGCTAGGCTGAACCTGGCCCTGCACTTCTGATTCTCCCTACGCACGTTGCTACCACATGAGGCATTTCTCTTTCTTCCCCTAAGACATGTCTGCCATAATAGCTGCCAAACACTGCTACGATATCCTTGGTAAATTAGATTTTAAAATTAAGCTTCCATATTGCCACACACAATTTTCCTACTCCTGCTTTCCTAGCTTTCCTCAGAAATGACAATGAAAGAAAAATGCCGACAGTGCTAATGACATCATGAGGAATAATATTTTTCCTTCCAATTAATTTTTCCACTATAAACATAAGCCTGTAATATTAATCAGTACTGGAGTATTGCGATCTATGCGTCTATGGTTGAAACTGCTTCTTCTTTTATTTTTCTGTAATTTAACTTTCAAAAATGAAAGCCTCTTCTGTATGCTTTTTGTTTCCATATTTTAAAAATCAGCATTTATCATATTACCAAAGAACATTCTGAGGAAAAAAAGGAAATGGGGACAAAATCAGGTAACGATGGCCAGTGGCAAAAGAGCCTGTAAACATCACAGCAGTCCTCCTTTGGAGCCAGAAAAAAGGTGCAGGATTCCTGTGCCTTCCCTTCCCATCAGCAAACTCCATGACACCTCTGGCCATCTGTCCCCCCCTGCCCTTGCCCATCCCTCCAGATAAATTGATCAGATATATGGAAGAAGTTTATTACACTAAGGGTAGTGAGGCACTGGAGCAGGGTGCCCAAAGAGGCAGTGGATGCCCCGTCCCTTTAGGCATGGGGTTCTGAGCAACCTGATCTAGCTGTAGGCGTCCATGTTCATTACAGGGGAGTTGGACCAGATGCTCTTTAAGGGACTCTACCAACTCAAACAATCCAGCATTTCTCTGACAAAGCCTTCGTTATCCACCACCATCTGTGTTACTGTCAGTTCAAGTGCCATAGTTCGTGCTGTGTGAAGGTAAAACATTCCAGTCTTGGTTGGGACCACGGGAATCCACACAGAATTGCCACATTTTCCAATTCATAGTGCATCAGACTCTAAAACTACTACTGAAAGTGCAAGATATCAAAGTGGAAAATCAGGAGAAGAAAGCACCAAAGCTGCTACAGCACTGTAGCCCAAGGGCTCACTGTTGCTTTCTGCAAGATCTTCATCCCCTGGACATCAAACTTGGGACACAGCAGAGATCACTGTTAGGATAAGAAATCTTCAGGAAGCTATAAGAACAGCAAGTGTTTGCCATGTTCAAAAGCCAGGAATCCCATGGGGAAATATTTGGTTATGTAAATAAGACTG